CGCAGGAGTCATTGGCACGGGTAAGTCAATAGGCGGACTATTATAGATCCACTTGTAAAGTATATATACATAGTCTTGATTCGCTTTACCAATACGTCCGCCCTATTGTCCGTATGAACAGGTCGATCTCAAGAGACCTTACATTTGAATTATGGAAACTTGTGTACGTCCGATACCATCCATTTATTTATTATTGAACAGTTCTTGTGTTAGTTTATTTTCCCCAAAAGATGAAAGCTAAATAATTGTTGTACATGCATCCACTATTAGAGGCTAACCACATCGGTCAGCGTATCTTCCCGTCGTGTATACCCGTACAAAGCAACTTTGCCTGTCTGTAATGCATATTGTATTGCCTTTGCAGATTGCTGCCCGACCGGGCGCCCACAAGCTGCGCTGCCTATTCCGCATCACCTTCGTGCCCATTTCGGCGGCAGAGCTGGCCCAGAGAGATCTGAACGCACTGGACTATTTGTACATGCAGTGCTGCAACGATGTCAACCAGGAGCGCTTCGCACCCGAGCTGCAGCCGGAGCTGGCTTTACGTCTGGCCGCTCTGCACATGCATCAGCATGCGCTGGCCAACAACTTTGCGCCTGCCAAGCTCACCGTCAAGCTGGTCGAGTGAGTGTCCCGACAACAATCTGCATTTACCGCTCCTTGACACTTTTATCTATCTACCTCTCTCTCTCTCTCTCTCTCTCTCTTTTACTAGACGTGAATTTGGTCTGGAACGCTTTGTGCCCGTTAGTCTATTTGAGGGCATGAAACGCAAGGAGCTCCGTCGACTCATCTCACACTTCTTGAAGGTCAATGCGGAGATGACGGGGTCCAGCAAAGTCTTAACTCAGCTGCAGGTAAGCTAAAATTAAAGTGAATATGCAGGTGTTATTCGATGTGAATTTTGTGTGGAACATTATCGTGTTTGCAGGCGAAGCTCCATTATCTAGATATAATCGCTAGTTTACCAAGCTACGGCGCCAAATGTTTCAGCACAAACCAAAGAGAGGGCATGGAGCGCGTTCTGCTCGTGAGTCCGCGCTTCGGTCTAAGCCAAATATCCAGCGCACGCAATTCAGTGGTAAGCAGCGACTGTATATTTTAAATGGATAATTTTTACATTACATTCGCATTAACAACCAACAACAGCCACAGCCCATTTCGGCCATAGAGGACTTTACGCATGTCGTGGTGCATCGCGAGGACGACATCACCTGCAGCGTCTCGATCTACATGCTGGGCGATCGGGCTGTCAAGTTCATAATGGAGGATCGCGATGCGTGCGAATTTAGCCTGGTGCTAGGCGGCTACTACCGCCTGCTGACAGGTAATGCAGTACAGTGCCTTAGATTCGAGTTGGCTTAAAGCAATGGGTCCTTTTTTTAGGAAATGTTCTAAACGTGCTGCGGGAACGCGAACCGAACGAGGAGGACAATGCGCCCGCCTTCTTGTCGCAGCACACGGTGCTGCCGGCTAGCTGGAGCTACCTGTTGCCCTTCCACAATCGGGCGCACAGCGTGAACTTTCTGATTACGCCACCATATCACCCAATGCCACAGCAGGCGGTGCTCTCGCAGCCGCAGCCCGTGCAGCAGCAACAGCAGCTGAGCTATGCGACCGATCTGGACTTGCATAGCGTGATGGCCACCGAGCTGCTGGAGGAGGCGGCCAAGGACTCTGGTTTAAGCGACAGCAGCGGCAGCAACTACTGCAGCGAAAGCCGCACTCAGCTGGCGGTAGAGGCGAAGAACGAACAGGTACTGCGCCGAGTCCAGGAGCTGCAGAAACTCGTTCAATGCTCCGAACAGTATCTCAGCGAACAGGAGCAGGAGCTGCAGCATGTGCCGTTGCAGCAGCTACAGCAGCAGCAGCGGGAGCAGACGCAGCAGCAGATGGGCCAGAGTGTGGCTATGCTGGAGTTCGACAGTGACTGTGACAGCTTGAACAGCAGCAAAGTGTCCTCCACGGAGGAGAGCAACCACGTCAGTCAGCCCTCGCTCAAGCACAGTGACTCGCTCACTCTGCTGGCCGAGACGATTAGCCATGAGCTGACCGGCATAACGCAGGGTCTCAATGCCATACCGGAGCCGATCTCTGCATCCGCACCGCCCACACCTGCCACACCCAAGCGCAAGCCGAGCCTGTGCAGCACTTCCAGTCCACGGCCTCAAAGGAAGCTCAATGGCTTCAGTCAGCTGCTGAGCGATTTGCAGGCTCTGGGCACAGATTTCTCGCAGAGCGAAAGCGACTCCGAGTCGGTAGCCTCGCCAGCCCAATCGCCAACGACTCGACGGCCCCAGCAGCTGCTGCAGGCGGGTAGCAAACAGCAGCAGCAGCAGCAGCAGCACCAGCAGCTGGCTCAACGCAGCAGCTTTGGTCTGCACAGTCCGGATGGAACACACTTTGGGGCTGAGACAAAGGACTACAATCTGCGCGAGTATCTGCAACAGCTCAAAGAGATCAGCAATGTGCCCGACACAGATGTCGCTGCTCGCCAGCTATCGGAGATTTATGGCTTCGAGGTGCGCGAGGATACGTTCATTGAGACGGACACGGACTTAATTGATCTACGTGCCATACCCCCACCACAGACGCCCGACGAGCTGGACTCGCTGTCGCTGCTGAATGCGGCGCCACCCAAAGGATTTGAGGGCAAGGCCGAGGAGTTGGACAGCTTTCTGCAACAGATGCTGGTGGCGCCGCCCACGCAGAAAGCAACGCCCGCGAAGGAGCTGACACCCGAGGAGATCATGTCCTTCATTATACCACCCCCGCCAAACCTAGAGGCGCAGCCCGAGCGACCCGAGGAATGCCTCTACAGCAATTCGGTGCAGGCCAAGCGCGAGTTTTTCCAGGCCGTTGCCAATGGCAACAACAGCATCCAGCAGAACAACCACAAGGACCAGGCAGCGCATGTCATTGAGTATCCCACCGTGGAGCGAAAAAGCAAATTCAGCTGCTGTCCCACATCCAAAAAGGAAGAGGCAGCATCACTCGAGGAAGCAGCACCACTGCAGCCGCCACCGCGCACCCCAGCCATAGAGCAAACGACTCCGCCGCCGGCGCGTCCACCCAAAAGCGCGGAGCTGCTGCAGAGGTACTCTCCCAAGAAGCAGGTGCGAATCGTCGGTCATCAGCCGGTGGTAAGTGTGCCGCTGCGTGAGCTGTGCCCGCCACAGCTGCCCCCACGCAGCAGCCCCACAGCCAGCTCGGAGCCAGCCACACCGCAGACTGCAACTCCGGCTACATCGGCGGTGAGTGCGCCCAAGAAACCCCCGCTGCCACCCATTGCCAATCGCCCACGCCCCGTCAATGGCACGCCCACACCCGTCAGCAACACATCTCCGCCTATACCGGCCACCACCCGCCTACCCAACGCGCATTCCAATGGTGGCCAACCCACGCTGCCGAAGAAGCCTCAGCAACTACACGGCGAAAAGCTATTCATCAAGAATGGACACCTTATCGACGGCGAGGCGCTGCTGGCCAAAACGGATGTGGCCATGGCTGGGCTGCTGATCAAACTGGACCAGGTAGCCGCCCAATGCTCGGCCGCCCAGTCGGCTGGCGGCGGCACCAGCATCGATGAGGATAAGTTCCAGCGCGCGCGCAACGAGCTGACGGAGCAGACTTTGGCCTTAGTCACAGCCAGCAAATTTCTGGTAGCCTCCATGTCCGACATGACGCTGATAAACCTACCCGATCACCTCACCTCTTGCCTGACGGCTATCCGACGCATCACAGAGCTGGCCCAGGACATGACGCGCCACACCTCGGCGCCGCTGCAGACGCGCAACATCGTGCTCAAGGTGCACGATGTGGCGAGTAGTTTCCGTGAACTGGTTGGCGTGCAGATCGGACCCATCGGAGCGGGCCAGCTGGCCCTGCAGGCAGAGTGTCTGGCCAATGTGCTGGCCACCCTGTTGCGCAGTCTGCGCGTTTTCTCGCCCTAGAAGCCACTCTGACCCGATCCTACAAAGAAGCATGAGCAGAAACATTAAGTCGACCTAGAAGCGAACGCGACCCGATCCTAGAACGTGATCCGAACCTACGCCCACGATAACGACAAGGACATATCGCCCGCCCCTATATCTACTCAAATATCAAACTTAATACTAATTAGCTAAATACCTTATATCAAATATACCCTACTTATACAGAATCTGAAACTATTTTACAGGTAAAAGGCAACGTCAGAGAGTCGTTGGTCTGACTTTAGGCTAACTAATAATAGCGGAAACTCGAACATAACCAAATCTATGAATACATACATACATATATCGTGTTCAGATACATATATACGAGTATAACCAAAGTCAACTATATAGCAACAATTATGTTTTCTTCACTGAGTCCTATATTATCTATATTTAGAAGGTGTCATATTTTATATTGTAAATTAGCTTTTGGTAATCTTGTTTATAAGTTTCGCAAGAGTTGAATCTTAGAGTTCTTCCATGCAATTCCAAATTTTATGTTGAGTTTTCATTTTGAAAAGGAGGAAACTTTTCACCGGCTGAACACGATTTTAATCCACATAATAATCAATAAATAAACTTCTATGGAACCATCAAATCTAACTGCATGCAACTATCTCGAATTTGAATTTCTGTGTAACCTCTTTAATATAAATCTAATACTAAAATACAATAACAATAATTTCTAAAATACAAATAAATCTTTCATCTTTTTACTATGTATCTAATTGTTAACGCTAAACCAATTGAAGCAACTTCATGACTTGAGTGTAGACCAATTTATATACATATGTATTTGTAACTTAAAATCTAAAAAAAAAGGAAAAAAAAAACAAGAAAGAAAAAAACCAAAAACCAATATTATAATACAATGTTTATGAAATGTGTTTATTTTTAAATTACGGCATTAGTATATTTTCTTATGTACATATATATATATATATATATATATATATAATACATATACAATTTACATAAATTTCATATGCATACTAAATACATACTTACGTATACATACATACATATATATCAAACAAAACAAAAAGAAAATTGACCAAACAATAATCAAAATTTTAACTTGTGATATAAAAAATGAATTAGTGGAAATCCAATGTTTTGTAAGTGTTTAAACTATTTTTTTGCAATACTAGTTTGTTGATGCTCCATTATGATTTATTGTTATTGTTTATGTCACATTTGATGTAGTCTTTTATTGAAGTACAAGAATGCGCACTAAGTTGTAGCTTTACTAATCTATAATCGTCTATTGTTTATTATTACAGCAATAATAATAATTTAATCAATCAGAGGAGAATATAAAACAAATTTCGTAGTGCTAATCCAAACTAAATGGTTTTTTGTTTCTATTTTGTTTTCAATTCTGGTAAACATATAATAAACATAACCATTTGCATAAGTAATACGTACACATATACAAATATAACTACAAGTAATAATACATATTAAGTATACATATTAAAAAGCAAAATGTACAATGTAAAACATATAACTGTTTATGTATATCATACAAAATTAAAACATTACAAATAAACTCAATAAATACACCGAAGGCACGATTTTCAATCAACTAAATCATAAATCTTCAAATACATATTACTTGAAATCAGTCTTGGAAAGCGCCACAAACTGCGCGCTCTGCAATTACACATCTCTGTAAACTTTAATACATTTAACCACTGTTATTATCGTTTTCACATTTCAAGTGCTGCCCAGTGCGAATAATGGCTGATGAGTAAATATCGATAGGCAATCGATCATCACTAAGGCTAACAGACGAGACTGTTTGTCTGCAGCGCGAACTTTCGCGCGGATTTCATTCCGTTCAGTACTTGAGTAAAACTCGCAGACTAGACAGCTTGGCGCTCGCGGGTTTTTCTTCAGGCGTTACTGAAACTCATTTTTTGGCGCAAAGTTATTGAAACTCGTTAGAAATGAATGAAAATACAATCGACGCTGAAGATCAGCAGCTAAACTATAACTTGCAAAAGCTTAACTCGGAATTGTGCTTCTTGATTGACGACCAACAACCTGTGCAGATTGCGGGTTGCAGCAAAGGCGGTGCTGCTAAGAGCGCTTTGCAAGAATTTAATCCCAGAGTGCACGAATTAGCATTCGATTCGAGTGCTCCACAGTTTGAGTTTCATAGATTTGGTTGCATTGAGTCACGGCTCATGGGAAGGCGTCAGATCCTATCGAGCAACACTGATCATCAGAAGAAGCCTAAATCAAATGCGATCCAATATGCAAACCTACTGCAAAAAGAGAACATATCGGTGGAGCTTACCATGGACCAGATTAAGTTTATTGAGCTGTTTGGCAACTGGTGAGTGCGCCAAAGCGATATCGATAACAATTTATATTTGAAATTCATTTATGCAGCCGCGAGCGTAATATTGTGTTGCGCCTGATCAACTTGTTCAAGTCGCTGCATGAGCTTCTCAATGCAGACTTTCCCAGTCATCAGTTGAACTCAGTACCGTCCGATTATGTTTTCGAGTTGCCCAGCAAGCACACCAAGCCGAAAAGTTTGAATCTACGGCATCAAGTGCATGTGGTTTGCACCAAGTTGGATCGCTTCATTGGACGGCTGCGTCGCATACTGGAGTCCAATCGTCACTTCGATTACACCAAGTACGTTGAATGCGATCAGTTAATCAATGGAACCGCGCAGGGCCTCCGAATTCTTAAGCAATTCACAAATGTTGAAATGCGTCAACGCAATTTGCATCTTATCGGTCGTTTGGCAAACGGTAAGCTTTTATTTAAACTAGATATTAGATTCGAAATTCGATTGAGCCCATTCATCCTCAGAGAATGCTGCTCAGATGGAAATAGTGATGGAAGATCTGCAAGAGCGTTTGAAGTCTGCTCACATTCACGTGTATGTATTCAATTGGGAAATGGATCTAGAGCATCGTTATTCAGCAACCATGACAGCCAGTCTCGAGGAGATGAATAAGAATGCTTTGGCATTGGCGGCCGCAGAGTCGCATGCGGATCAGTGCCGTCAATTTAGTATTGAAGAACAGCTCCTTGCCGAGCAGTATCAGCTGCGCAACGTGCTCAGTTGTGCCAAGGAACACGAGGACTTTTTAACGGCACTCCTCAACTCACCCGAGAACTATTTCCCACCCGAGATCATTGATTTGTGCCAACCACCCAAGATCATGAATAATATTTACTTGCCACCTTTGCCACCTGTATTTATCGATGAGCTTGCAGACGGCATAGAGAACATGGTCTTTGGTGTCGACATTCTCGGCTTGGCACCATCATCACCGCCCAGAGTCAATCATCGCTCCCATGTTCCCAAATGTAATCGGGCTTAGAGACTCGAGCGAGACGGAAATTGTTTACATTGATTAAACAAGTCACACATAAAAGCAACATATTTGTCGACAATTTAAGAACGGAATGAATCGCATCATAGATTATAATCACCATTGAAACTTAATGCAGAAGAAAGTATTTTTAGTTGTAATTGAAATTGAATTAATTTTGAAATACTATTTTTATTTTTAAGTAAATTAGCAGAAGCTATAAACCCATATTACATTATACGATTTTAATGAAAAGACATGTTTAAAATTAACTATTTATCTACAATTTAGGGAATGTTCTTGCACTTAATGAAAATGTGTACAATAAAACAGATTTGTTTCATCCTAAAACCATTTATAAATCAATCAATCTAGAGTAAATTTCTTGTATAATTTCTTAAAATATAATACAACAGCACGCCAGTATATAACGCACTTAAGGGTCTAAGAAGAGCTGCTCCAGGGGATATTTGGATAGGGCTTTATTTAAAACCGATTTGAAGATCAGACCCATAGCACCGAATATATCAGGCTGTAGTTCACTGAAGACCTCGCGCCAGTTTTCGTTGATCAGGACATGAAGATTGTCGCTGAGATCCTTCTGGCCGTTAAAGAGATTATTCAGCTTGTAGGTAGCACGAGATGGCTCCAATTTAATCTTAACCTCAATCGCCTTTGCATAGGTTTGCTGCGGACCCTTGGACACTGGTACGAATTTCGCAATGGCGCTGACCTTGACATTATCTATGAATCACATAGACACTAAATGTTTTACAAGTTATGAGCTTATACAAACCCAGGCTTATCTCCGCATCGCCCTTTCCGACAATGGGCAGTATCAAAACTTTACCATCTATGCTATAGGGACCCTTGAGTGTTAATTTGGGTGAAAACATTTCGAGAACAATCGGGCGACCTAAATCGCGCGTGAAAGCGCTGCCGGAACGAATATTATCAATCATATGAGATACGATCTGCTCATATTGGCTATATATATATATGCACGGATTTACTAATCACTTACGAAGTTCGCTTAACTTGCGAGCTACGGAGACCGACCAATTCCGCATTACTGAAAGTCATATCGATGCTAACTGGACTGTTGGGGTTTTTGGCAAGGCTGAACTTCTTGATATGCAACGGATCCAATTTAACCAATCCCAGCTCTTTGATACCTGTCGTAGCAAAATTATTGATCACATAATTCATGCCATCCAGCAAGCACTTTTCATCCGCAATTTCGCATTTCGTAATATTTCCAGCTGCAAGACGGCTAAGCCTTTCTTTGATTCTGATCGACTATTTCCATATTTAATACTTACGTAAATCAGAGCTCGAGCCGCAGGAGTACATATTCAAACAACTGATGATTAATAGGGCAATTATAAATATATCCATTGTGAAGTGATTTTTCTAAAATGATGGCGGGTCTGACTTCGGAAAGAAACTGTGGGAGCTACTTCTAGGTGTTCCCTTTTATACGGCATATCTGTCGCGAGCAAGCTATTAAAAATACATATTTTATTATTATACTGCTGTATTTCAATTTTATCTCAGCTTTCTGCTCCCCAGTTGTTGAGTTACTCATTCGACTCGTAAACTCATCGAGATTTCGTGCGTCTGCTTAGGCAGCTTATGTACACACTTTTTCAAATTACCGACACCTAAGTATGGGAGACATTTTGTTATATATGCATATATATAGCATCTTTATTGTTTCAACTGTTGATCAATCTGAGTCGTTTTTATTTTAGTTTTAAATAATTTAATTTTAAGATACTTTTGCCTTCAAAATCGAAACTGAAATCAACTCTACGCAGGATGCAGGGTATATCTAGTCGGGTATGTCAAGTGGGCTTTCCCCTTTTCCCAGCTTACGTGTAATAGTTATGTTGTTAATCAAAGCTACAAAAATACATCTATTACAGGTATTTGCAATACCAATTTTGATTTTTTTTATAGCCCAAATGCAGTTTTTATTGGGTTGTCATATAATTGCAATTATCCACTAAAATCATTAATCATTAATAAAATATTTATGGAATAATTTGTAGTGCATTTACAATTCGGTGAACACCCAAATCTCTTGTCAACCCACTGGTTGATATACCAGGCACCCTTGACCTACCTAAAACGTTCTTAATTGACTGCACTTGATAAACCTATATAATTGTTGATTTCACGATCTGATGTGTAGGTTGCACTACAATGCTTTGGAATAAATAAGCTAATTAGTAGAGAAATCGCAGTCTTATATTGTCGCGCCATTTACAAGTAGTATGCGACAATATCAGCCATCGACATTAAATCTATTAAATCTATTTACGTCAAGCTGGTTTATATATATCAACTGGTTTTAATCCGGAAAAGCGAATATCAATATTTCATATTTTAAATAGAACTAATTATCTGGTTTTCGCATATTTGTGGCACTTGTTTCTCTCTCACTCACTATTTGTTTAACTCCCTAAAGCCTTTGTCATATGATGTGATTAACATTTACACATTCTTCTGTCTGTTACATTAATTTTCCTATTTTCAATATGTCCAGGATATAACAAGAATTACTTCAATATCGAAACATTTTTTGTAATTTAATCATACAACCTTTAAAAAGCCAGGGAGGTGATTAAGCTTCACTCTGCACCTCGGGTCGGGTAAGCGGATATCATAATACTTGGTCGACATCCAAAATCAATTAAATGTGTATCACTGCCTAAGCGAGTATAAAGACAGTATTTAAAGAGTTTTTAAAGGTAATATGTATACTAAAAAAGCTATTGCTTCAACGAATAAACACTCACTTCTCAATTGGTCTCTGTACAATATATAAGTCATCAACCTTCATAAACAGATCGTTATTTGTTTACTTTACCTAGGATAATCAAATGACTCACGTGAGAAATTCAGATCTTTCTGAATATTTAGGATATTCTGTCTACTGTTGCATTGCTTAAATTATAAGCTTTATAACACGATTAAGTTATATATATGTTAAATATTGATGCTGAATTGGAAAATAGAGCAAATTAATTTCGCAGTCTGTTTAATTGTTCAGCTCACCTTTTCCAAGCACGTAACGGCGATTACAATGCGCTTACGTGCGGCAGTGAAGAAGCATTTTTGGCTTCTCTGCTCGCGCAGTAAATTGTCACTCACCAACAAGGTCACAGTTTATAAACAGATCATTGCGCCAATATGGAAATATGGGTACCAAATCTGGGGGCTGGCTTGTGATAGCCAAGTTCATCGAATCCAGGCCACCCAGAATAAAATCATAAGATTGCTTACCGGCTGCGAGTGGTTTGTTCGAAACACCATACTGCACAGAGACCTGAAACTCGCCACTGTCTTTGATGCGATAAATCAGCACTCTAGCCGGTACAATGACAGATTGGAGCGGCACAAAAACAGACTAGCAAAAATGCTCATAACAAACAGAACTCCTAGGAGGCTTAAAAGGAGACAACCAAGGGACCTGATTCTCCGATCGGATGACGGTCAACAGGAGTTGACATATAGCTGCCATCATTGTGTTATAATTGTATTGTGTTGTAAATATTTGTAATTGTAAATATTCGTAAATCGCGACAGCAACGTAAGTTGCCGGCGCGCCCCAAAGGGCTGAATGAACAGATAATAAGCTCACAAAGGGGTTATCGAAAAACCTCGTATGGCTTTAACAAATAAAAATAAAAAAACTTATATAAGTATGTTCAAATTGCAATCGAAAAAAAAATGTATACTTTTAGGCCGCATTTTAATTAAAATCTTTTAATTTTTAAATATATCCATTGTGAATTGATTTTTCTAAAATGATGGCGGGTCTGATTTCGGAAAGAAACTGTGGGAGCTCCTTCTAGGTGTTCCCTTTTATACGGCATATCTGTCGCGAGCAAGCTATTAAAAATACATATTTTATTATTTTACTGCTGTATTTCAATATAAATACGGAGCAGGGAAAGCCCGTTTGATTTTCACTAGGATATCGTCATGCCAAACTTTATCAAACACCTCCCGGATGTTCAGATAGAGGGCACTACCATACTCTTTATGTTCATAGGCCGTACAAATTTGGTCAACAACTCAAAGAAGCTGCTCAACAGTGGTGTGTCCACCACGGAATCCAAACTGGTGCTCAGGAAAAATCCCCCGAGCTTCCATAATCTTTACCAGCCGCACAGTAATAAGTTTTTCCAGCACCTTCGAATCGAAAGGAAGAGACTTATCGGAAGGTAGTCTTTCCGGCTTGCCCGGCTTGTGGATCATGGTTATTATACCGCGCTTCCACTTGTATTAATTGATAGTGTTCAATAGTCTTGAACACCATCGCTATGAAGCACACACACCACATGACTAGGCAGTGCCTTCAAAGTGGCATTGCAAATGACGTCATGTCCTGGCGTCTTTTTTGTGTTTAGACTAGGAAATACTTCAGAAATCTCGCTTGGATCAAATAACTTAATAGGCAAATCCATTTGAAGCGTTTGAGTCTGTTGCTCATGAGTATCCTGAACTTGTTGCAGGCTGAACAAATTAAATGATTCCTGCCAGCTAATAGGCGAAGCACGAAAAGACTATATTCTAAAGTAAGAGTTAAAGAAGTATAGATTTATGATGTTCAAGGCTTAGAGTTAAATATGGTTTAGTATCTAAGACATTAAGTTACAACCCATTCAACTGACTAGGAGATACCCTGAGCCCTCCAAGCTGATATTCTAATCACTCTGGACTTCTTTTATGCACACATACATACACATGCACTTATAAGCACGCGCTCTGCTAACTGCGCAGTAAGCAGCGACTGCGCTTGGGCTGCGCTGCAATGTGGGCAATATTATGAGTATTTATTTGTTGAATAATTTCTTTTGTAGACATACAATGAATGAAACTTTCAGAGCGTAGCCATATGGTTTAAATGTGTGTACATTCCAAAGCACAAGTCTCTAGTACTTGAAATGCGTTTTTTACAAATTGGTGGAGAAGGGGGCGTGGTATTCAAAATCTGTGAATTACAAAATCTTTGTATCCATTAACTTTATATACAACGCAAATTTGAAGTCTACAGATCTAAAGGTGTTCAAATAAGGCTGAAAAAACAATGTCGATTTGTCGATTATTCTCGATAAAAAAGTTTTCAGATGAGTTATCGAAAAAATATGATAAACTTGTACTGCCTATGGTATACACGAGTATGCATGCCAAATTTCAGCTCTCTAGCTCTATCTTCTGAGATCCTTTTGCTCATACGGACGGACGGACGGACAGACGGACAGGGCTATATCGACTCAGCTCGTCGTCCTGATCAAGAATATATATACTTTATGGGGTCTGCGATGATTCCTTCTGCCTGTTACATACTTTTCACAAAACCATTATACCCTGATTTCCCATTTTCAATGGGTTCAGGGTATAAAAATATTTATACATTCATTATCTTAAACATGTCTCAAGATAACAATAGACAACAATAATAGTATGGTAAAAAGATTTCACGTTCCATAATTGACAAATAGAGAGAGTTAGTTAGTTTAGTTTCCGGTTATTTGTTAGTTATTGTTAATTTTAGTAAATATGCATATGATATAAGATAGATTGCAAATAAGCCAAGAATTAAAAAATAAAGTTTTAATTGCCTTTTGCTTTACATATTTTATACATATAGCATTAATAGGGACATTGAGTACAGGGTCGCTCATACTCGACTAAGCATCTTTTATGAATATAATAGAATCTAATATATATTCCAATTTTATGATGTCAAATAAATATGGTAATTTTATTAAACAATAATTTACCCATTCGATTTGCAATATTAATAACGTATCAATTATTCCATGTGTAATGAATCACTGTTTTATTAATCTTAAATACTTAAGAAAAATCCAAGTGTTTATTTTATTTGTAAACATATTATTCTTGTTTAACAATTAAATCGGATAGCTGTGCGTGTGTATAATATACATTTGCATGTATTCAGGCTGATAATTGTAATTGATTAATTGGCATACCGCCACCTGGTATTTATCTAGTGCCATTAACTTGGTCAATTATATGGCAACTACTATTATTTAAATGCTCCTGTGAAATATGTATATATGTATATGTGTGTGTGTGTTTTTTTGTTGTTGTTGTTTTTTTTTTTTTTTGTAATTTATTTTAATACATACAATACAGCTTTACTCCTCAAAGAACTTGGCGTAGGGATACTTTGAGAAAACATTTGAGATAATCGTTTGGAATATTTCGGCAAATGCCGATTGCATCGACTGCTGCACCTCAAAAAATATTGCTTCCCAGTTATCGTTGAGGAACGCATTCATGTTATCTCCCAAGGCCTTATCTCCATTGAACAGATTGCTGAAGTGGTAATACAAACGCTCCGGCTTGGTCGAAAACTTCAGATTGGTTGCCTCCATATAGGTCTCGCCATCCTTCTGCACAGGCTTGCCCGTAAAGCCTACTATAATGTCACAGTTGACTGTGGGAGATAAATATTATTAATATTAATGAAAAGACAAAATTATCTCCTTGTACAGTAGCCATCTTGCTACCAATATAAAAGCGATGGATTTCGAATCTCACCTACATACTCATCAAGTTTTGGTTATCTGTTTCACTGATCAACTTTTTTATTCGACTATATATATTTCAAATTATTTCGGCTATATTTCATTGTATTGCTGCTAATAGACTACGTCAAATTGGATTTTTCCAATCACCACAGCTCGATCAGACAACCAGCTTTGGTGATCTAGCCCTAGGGTCCGTCTATCTTTCAACATGTATGAACACAGCGATCTCAAATGTCCCAAGTCATTTTTTCACCTTGAACATCAATTACAATTGAATTTGTTGTGCAAAAGGATGATTCCTATTATATGCATATTACATATTATTTCGCTTAGGAGTAAGTATATGCTAGTTGTGCTTGTTGAATTTACATAGTATGATAATTACCCATTGTTATGTTGCTCTCTCCATTGCCGCTGATGGGGAGTATTAGGACCTTGCCCTTGATTTTGTAGGGTCCAACAAGGCTCAGCTTGCCTGCATTCAACAACAGTTCGTGTTTTTTGTCAATGCTTTTCCCAAAGCCCCTGTATTTTAGATATATGAGTTAATGACTTCTATTCGGTAATCCCCACTTACTTGACTTTGCGGAACTTCATGGAGCTAATGCCGTAAATGTTGTTATCCGTAAATGATAAGTCAATGTTAACTGGACTTTCGGCTCCCTGTTTGATGTTCATTTTAGTCACCGGCAGTGGATCGAGCTTGACCAAATTAAAAGCTTGATCGCCCTGCGTCGCCTTATGACTGATCAAGTCGTTCATCACCTTTACAATACAGTCCGAATCGCCATATTTACATGGCTTCGGATCAGCGGCTATATAACATAGACATGATAAAATTGACAAGGATTTCAAATATAGAAGCATGATCCCTGCTTACGAAAATCGGCTCGCACACCAAGCACAAAACAAACGACGATGCTCAAAATAATTTGCGTCATTTTCCCGGTGCAATAAAGCATAAAACTGACTGAAGTGAAATTGTGGAAGCAACTAACACGTTTCTAAAGTCTACGTACGATTTTATAGCAGGGCGCCTAACGAAAATATATGACTTTTATATAAATTAGTCTATTCAAAAGTGATATGTCCCCGTATACAAATATAACCTGTTTGAGCTCCATAATATTCTATCTCATAATATAATATAATGGTGGGTAATCAGAGGATTAATATGACTAGCACTTATTTCATTGACAGCTTTAAAGGTTACCATTTCATTACAAAAAAAAAAAAAAAAAAAAAAAAAAAGAAATACACATACACACACTTAGAAAAAAGAGGAAAACTAGTTATTCAACAAATATTGAAATTAAGATATGAATATGCCTAAATCACATAAAGAAAATTATTGTTAAATTATTGTTTGAGCCGCACCTATAATCAATTTTACTCAGTTAATACACAAATCAACGGTTTACAACATTCTTAATCTAACGAATTGTTTTCATGACACCAACTTTACGAATTTTTATTAAAAAAAAAAGTCTTAAAAAACGAGACTTTCTTTTCCTTATTTTAATAAAATTATTTTAATTTTGATAAGTACCGCTTGAAACTTTTGTTTTATAATATTTTCATATTTCAGGCTGAGAACTGTCTGTAGTATAAAAATATTCGAAATTTAAAAGTGGGAATTTTAATAATTAGTTTTTGCAGTGCATTTTCACATTTAAACAATAAACGATAATTTTGTAATTACATCTAATCGTTGTGTTTACAGCAACCCATTTCCAATCATTTAATTTCCTTACATCATAGAATACTTGTTATTATTGTACATATGAACCAGTATCATCATCATTGAAGGTTCTTAAAACTGGAAAAAAAAAAAATTATATTTCAATATAATGAGATTATGAGATTACCTCAAAATACATTTGATATACTCAGTCTATACTACACAATCTAAAGGTGATATAAAAATATATGTATTAATTATTATATATAAATAATTATAAGCCTGAGTGACTTATGGCTGATTTAATTCCGTAATAAAGACTTGGTGAATTATTGTTGTTCGTTGGATTCGTTGGATGAATAATTTAAATAACTGCGTTGAAGCGAACTTCTCCAACGAATGGTAATCGTCATCTAAGCTAAGTACAAGTTGAAACAAGGCAATCAAACAAATGTTTCGCATTATTTGTCTTCCTGTCATAATATTGACAGCTGAAAACTGAAACCAAAAACGAGTTTCGTACTAATTAGCCTAACATCATGATGGGGCAACTTTTTGGGGGATAACCCCCTTAAGTAACGATGAGAGCATGAAAATAATAAAAATTCATGTTTAATTTACACTTTAAATTACCAGATAGGGTATCTGTATCTGCATCTGTATCTGCATCTGTATCTTTATCTGTATCTTTATCTGTATCTTTATCTGTATCTTTATCTGTATCTTTATCTGTATCTTTATCTGTATCTGTATCTGTATCTGTATCTGTATCTGTATCTGTATCTGTATCTGTATCTGTATCTGTATCTGTATCTGTATCTGTATCTGTATCTGTATCTGTATCTGTATCTGTATCTGTATCTGTATCTGTATCTGTATCTGTATCTGTATCTGTATCTGTATCTGTATCTGTATCTGTATCTGTATCTGTATCTGTATCTGTATCTGTATCTGTATCTGTATCTGTATCTGTATCTGTATCTGTATCTGTATCTGTATCTGTATCTGTATCTGTATCTGTATCTGTATCTGTATCTGTATCTGTATCTGTATCTGTATCTGTATCTGTATCTGTATCTGTATCTGTATCTGTATCTGTATCTGTATCTGTATCTGTATCTGTATCTGTATCTGTATCTGTATCTGTATCTGTATCTGTATCTGTATCTGTATCTGTATCTGTATCTGTATCTGTATCTGTATCTGTATCTGTATCTGTATCTGTATCTGTATCTGTATCTGTATCTGTATCTGTATCTGTATCTGTATCTGTATCTGTATCTGTATCTGTATCTCTATCTCTATCTCTATCTCTATCTGTATCTCTGTATCTATCTCTACAAGCAATATTTTTTAACATCTCAAGGTATCTGGTAGTCGACTACACTCCTAAACTCCTTTTTATTGTAAATATATCTATACTATGAATAAAAATTGCCTGCAGGCAGAGCTAAATATATACTACATATATAGTACACTTGATTGTCCAGTTAACCAGCCTCCAGATTCCTAAAATGAACGTAAACAACAATAAATTTAATAACAATAACAAGTCGTACAACCTGATCGTAATACTGACAGCCAGCTTCTTAGTTCCTAGGTAACCATCGAACAGTTGAGTGACTCGAGCAGCTTACATGGAAGATTTCGCGTAGAGTTCCAAGGTTAACTAGCTATCAGTTGCTTCATTTGTTGGCTTTACCGTTGGCTACACTTGAACTTGACAACGGTTTTAATAGCTTTTAAATGCATACATATATTTAGAGGCATATACATGCAATATACATATATATTTTGCCGGCTGTGGCTCTGTTGTAGACCAGACTGCACTGTCGAAAAACAGTTTGGATTTAAAATGTGAATGTGATTGACGTCGTATTTGTATGCAAATCAATCACGTGAATCGGCTGCCAAATTCCTGGCTTAAATTTATGCGTCAGCTTTGCGGAAATAAAAACAAGAACTTTATTCTTTATATAGTGCTATACTATATAAAATGCTGTTCTAATGTCAAAAGCTAGTGACTGACAAAAATGATAATCTGCTTTGGCTAGAACAAAGGCAGAGCTCCCTGAGAATTCAAATAAGAGAGAATTTAAATAGGTTAAAAGAAAAATTAGAATTTTATACAAGTGTGCAAACTTTGAATTTCAGTTATTAAATTTGTTTTATTAATTAATTGTTGGTATTCTAAAAAGTGTTCTTATATTTGTAAGTGTTGCTTAAGCAAACAGTCCATTGAAGCATATTTGTGATGAAAAATACTCGCACACGTAATAGCTAAAGACTTATAGACTAAGATTTTATATAGGTATATTAAGAAAGATATGTCACATTCAAAGAGTGGGGGCGGCGCTTATCTATTCCTCCAGAAATAAGTCCTCGTAGGCGAAACGTTTGAAAAGTGTGGCGAGAATACTTTTCATGATATCCGCAATGGCGACATGCACCGACGGCTGCAGCTCGCTCCAGACATCGGCCCAGTTCTCGTTCAGGAACTGGTTCAAATTGTTGCCCAGCGCTTGGTCACCGTTGAAGAGGTTGGTCAGCTTGATGTTCATTCTAGGGAAGGAATCCCAACTTATAGTTTATTTGGCTTATGTGAACAGCCCTCGACTTACTTCTGTGGCTCCACGAGGACCTTAAGCTTGTCCACGCTGAGGAAGGTGCGTCCGTTGCGGACCTGTGTGGCCGGCTTGAACTTGACCGAGAACTTGGGATTGTGCAGGGTGATGTCAGCATCGCCATCGCCGCGTATGGGCAGAATCAGAATGCGTCCATCGGCCAGGTACTTGCCACGCAGCACAATTTTCGAGAACGCGCCGTACATTTCAAACTTACTTGTGGATGGATTCCTGTCGAAGCCCCTGCAAGTTGTAAGTAACCATGTGAACCAATAAGATGAATACAAAATGATATATAAAAACATAAATGTTTGCTCTGTCCACTTACACGGCCCGGTCGAACTTGACGCCGGACAAACCCTCCACATTCACGTCCCGGAAGTTCAGCTTGAGACTCAGCGAGCCGCTGCGTCCATCCGAAATATCAAAGCGCTTAATCAGGAACGGCTCCACCTGTGGGAATGCAGCGGGTGCGTAGCCAGTGCGCGCATATTGGCGCACCAGCTTGTGGGACACATTGATGATGCACTCGGTGTCGCCGTAACGGCAAATCGGTAGATCGGCGGCTAAATAAAATACAAAATCAATACAAAACACTTAGGAGCTCGGCATGCGCCAATTCGGCTCGTTGGACTCACGAAAATTAGATGGGCGGCTGGCGCCACCACTGACATTAATCAGGCAGGCGAACAGAAAAGCGGAGCACACGGCAAAAAGCATGTTTAGCAGCAAATACAACTCCTCAAAAATAGGAATCAAAGGCGACGCAGCGCACGGCTCTTTTCGCGAACTCCCGACCAAGTTCAATGCTAAACTGTAAATTGGCTCTGAGCAAACGCAGCCATTTATAGACTCTGAGACGGAGATCGCCAATACAATTCGGCCAATACGTTAAAAAGTTTATTCATTCTCAGCTCGTCTCGCTTCGCGTCGCTTTTCTTGTTCTTGTCGCTGTTGTTGTCGTTTTATTGTTGTTGTCTGTGGCTGTTTTTGTCTGTTGGCTTCTCATCAGCATAGATTCGAACTCGAATTCGAATTCGCAGCTCGCCGCGTAAGCGATGTCATTGTTGTTGTACTTCTTACTGTTGTTGCAGTTGCTTTTTATCTTCGCATCAACATAGATTCGAATTTATATTCACTGTGCGAGTAGCTAGCAAAAAGCAACATCAGTAACTACAACAACGATGGCAAGAATATTAATAATTGATATTAATAACAGGTCCCACAGTGCGACAAAATCAAAAGTGAATTTATTCATTTTAATTCCCGTTTCGCTAGCTGGTTTTTGACGTCTTTAAAGGCGTTTATGTTTGCTGCGAATGACGAACTCTAAATACTATTCATAGATATCTAAACAGCTCCTAAATTTACATAGACGTAGATGTAAGTAACCGTTTAAAATTTGAAATTTAGAATGCAAATTCCAAAACGCAGTTCTATACTAAATATACAATATCTACCTATAAATGTACAGTTATATGAATACATTTTTATCTAGCTTTTACATTGACTTAGGATATATCGTGTTCCATCATTGCATCGATCTTATAGCTAGCTATATCACATACATATACCATGTTATAACACATTCTCTTTAATGCGTTTTTGTATGAAGATCTATAAATGTCAATTTTATTGTCTGCCTTTCATATTGTTGGCCAAGCACAAAACAGAAATAACAATAAATATAATATAGATAAATATTTAGATATATGTATAGTTACGTATAGTATTCATTTTGTATTTGCGTTGACATCAGCTACATACATATACGTATGCAGTTTGCAAAGGGGTTCGATTAGAGACTTTTGTACAGATGTTCATGCGAAATTTAGCGAGTGTTAAATGATCGGACATGCATGTCAAATACTCATACTCATACTCATTTTAAAACTGAGATCATGCAACTTTAGTTTAGTTAATTCCAGTTTCGCTGAGGTCGTTAAATGGAACTAACTGAAGAATCTATTCATTTGCTAGCAACTAATGAGTTAATCACCGAAATCATCTGCAAACCCCTAACTGTGCAGAAGCCAAACAAAACAAGCGTATGTTCGTAACAGCTCAAGGTGATTAACTATTTCACACAAGCGAAAACACAATGCGCAGACAGGTTGAGGAATTTCCGTTTCGGGTGATAACCGCATCATCAGAGACAAGATCTATTTAGAAGCTCGCGCAGCGCAGCAATTAGAAATAACTATAATAATGAACGATATAGCGAGTGTCAGACTGGTTTGCCAATTTGCCAAACATTGAAAATAAAATTAAAAAATAACACAAACAAAAAATCACAAAAATCAGATTTTCTTTAATTGGGAGTATCTGATCAGCAGATACCCTGAACAAAAACATACTAGAAAATGTTATTATTGATTTGAAACAACGTAGAGCTAAGAACTAATATATCTCAACATAATACATGTATACAGTCGGCTATCAGCCACGCCTTCTTCTGCATAAATTTTAACTAAAACTTTAAAAGTTGTGGAAAAGTATTTAATAATTTCAGGGTATGCCAAAAGAGCTAGTCAACCAACCTGTGAATTTAATGGCCTCACTTTCAAACTATGATTGGTATGCGTCGTGTAAATATAGCAAATATTACCAGATATTACCGAAATCTTGAAGCATTCGTCATCAATAGTTTGCATATTATCTACCTGTAGAGAAGCCACCTTTAAAATAATAAAATAAAATAAAATAAAAAATAAAAAAGCAAGTTGCTGGGCGTAACCGACTGAAGAATACCCGTTCGAAGATAGATATTGACATTTCGACTGGAGAATATATATTTTTGTACATCAACTAAAAAAGATAAGCACTAATTTTATATATATCTGTAAAATGCAAGATATTGATTTTTTTTTTTTTTAACATATGCACACATACATTTTACATAAATTATATGAACAAACATGAACATATACATACATATATGCTTGTATTAAATTATATCATATATACATAAATTATAAATATTATAGATTATTATATGTTTGGAGCTGTAGAGACTCTAGCTCTTAAACTTTGTTATCTGATTCTAGTGTTCCTATATATACTCTTTTTACGTCATGAACGAGTCAGAAAAGCGTGAATAGAAGCGCCGCAATATGTTTATTTACACATTCAATTGGCGCCAGTGCCATACGCCTTAATATTTGATAATTTATACTGATATGTACATATGTATGTATGTATAAACTATTAAAGTTTTTGTTTTGATTGGTATACGAATTCCCAGACGCTTTCATAGCTTACATTCGACGATTACAATTAAAAGACATATAAACAAAACAAAACAAAAAATTGCCAAATCATTTATGTAAAGTCGCGCGTGTTCTATTGATATTGACATTCGACCAATGAATATATTTGAATAGATTTATAATGTTAAACCAGCTATTCATATCAATAGCATAAGCTCGTTAAGTGCGACAAATGAGTTGGTGTCAAAACCAGTTTAAATACAATTTACACTTTTACGTGAGGCACTTTCCACTAATTTTTTATTTTATATTTTAAGCTGTCACAAATAATGACTTGGTAATTGAATGGCATAATGTATATATGAATAATATATGAATAAGACAATGAAAATGATTATTTTTTGCAAATCATATTATTTGAATTACATTCTGTTATACTGCAAATATAAGCTGACCATACTTTCAGATTAAGAATATAGTGTAGCCAGACTGTTAAGTGGAAATTATTCTTGCTATCGATGGCTATTCTATCGATAATACAAAATGTAGCAGTTCTCTGTACATCACTGACGGCTTGTCAACGTATTATAAAAAGCGGAATAACCGCACAATAGAGTCTGGATTATAGATAAGAATACAGTACATTAAAATCAATTATAATGCATATGTCCACATTAACCACAAGGTTAGCGGTTGTCTCGATGCTCGTCTGTCTGCAGGTGTCGGCATCAACACGTGTAAACAAAACCGCCGAATTTGTTGCCACTGATGAATGGCAAGTCATAGCCGAAGGTTTTTATTACGTGTACCAATCAGTTACGGGTCATGTTTTAATTAGCATACCTTTTCTTTTAGGTCAGGCCATACCAAAGGGGCTACACGTTCGCATAAATCTGCAGACAGGCCTTAAGGAGGCGAAGTTACTGGACCCAAGCGACCGTGATACTGCATTGCAGCCGCAATCCAGCGACAACGAATCAGGATCTGGGTCGACAAATGACCACTTATCCATTGAATATAAAGCAGACCTCATTGAGGAGTCGGTGCGAAAGGTAAAGGAACAGCGCAGCTATGCAGAGTTGCGGAAAGCCTATAAGGATTTCCAAAAGAACTTTCGCACCGATGCCGAAGTGGTCGTGCAGCTGATAGAAGAATATCGAAACTTCAGCAAAGCACCGCTTGACATAGAGCTGAAGCCCAAGTTGAATATATTGGAGAATCTAGAATATATGCTGCATCAGATTGACAACGCACTGGTTTTTATCGACAGTGGCGGACTGGACGATGTTCTACTCCCAATAGTGGTGAACGATACGAACACGGCACTCAAAGTTTCTGCAATGCGAGTGCTGGGCGCTCTGGCAGGAAATAATCCCAAGGCACAGATCAAGGTCTTTGAGCGCAACTTCGGCTCTCATTTGGCACAAATCATGATGAGCTCGACGAACAGCGCCGAAATCTCAACGGCGCTGCATGCGTTCGGCGCTCTGTTGCGCAAGTTCCCCTTGGCTCAGCACCGTGTACTCTCCACCTCGGGAACACAGGCTTTGATCGGCCTGCTACGCAGTGCAGACATAGAGCTGCGCAATAAGGCCAAGGTAGTCACCTTAATTGGCGATTTAGTGCTAGAGAAAAGACATGTCCTCGACGAAGGCAAAGAAGAAGCCTTGGCGCAATATGTGCTACTCGAGTTTGAGTCGTGGCTGCAGTCGAACGGCTACTGTGCCGCCCTAGAAGCAGTTCTCAGCAAAGATTATGTACACTTGCTGGATCAAGCAGACGTGGTCGAGCAATTTATAGATGCACTACAGACCACCGAAAGTCTCTGCAAGCCCCTCTGGTCCAAAAGTCCTACTCTGCGGCATGCGCTGCTAACGGTGCGCAACAGATTCGCGCACAGCCAAGACGAATATCGATTGGAGGTATCCCAGGCTCTGTCGGCACTCTGTGAGCGCTTCTATGATAAGTTCGGTCATACGGAACTATAGAGTCCCAGTTGAGATTTAGCTAATTTCTTATTATGTAGATGTTCTTAAAGTATTCATCTGACTGCTATGCATAAGTCGAATCGAATTCCAATCTAAGCCAAAATCTTATAATGAAGCCCTTAGTGAAGGCACTTGATGTGATCTATTAACTAACTATCTAAGCAATAATTAAGCACAATTCAGTCAGGCAAGCGTTAAATAACCAACTCTGTAAACCTTTGACATTACAGTTTCAGTAAAAGCTCAATTTTATTTAAAGCTCAATAAAGCAAGCATAATCGACCAGCAGGTCATAAAGTAAGTCAAATGGATTGGCTGTCACTGCTCAAGGAAAGCAAAATCCATTGTGAGAAATCGAATGAAAGCATGGCCCAAAAAACATTTAAAAGTATGCAAAGGAAGCATGTAACTGTATATATAGCAAAATAATCGTCGGAGCACACACACACCAAGAAAGCAAAACTACCTAAAGGGGCGCACGGCCAACGCAATTATGTTCTTGGGGACAGGTTGAACTGAGCAGGAGCCGGGCCCGACGTCCAGTTCGAAACATAGCAATTAACGACATGCAAATGCAAATGCAACGTCACTGACTCATGGCATACGAAAAGTAATACAGGAGCAAAAAACTAAAAGCAAAGGGAGAGGGAGTGAGTGCCTGACAGAGAGCTGCAAGTGTGCCAATTTTTGCCACCTTAATCACACTCAATAAAATTTGTGTGCCGGTGCTAATCAACACTGGTTCAGCAAATCATAAAAACACACTTTTAAAAATTGTATGAGTGCTGCTCATGTAGGCAATATCTTGCTGTCACTCACAACAATGTGTCGTTTTCTTTTTGCTTGTCACCCAAGTATTTTTCGTCAACGCTTGCCGGTCCCACTTACACTTACAGCGAACGTAGAAAAAAAGCGAGAGTGTGAAAAGAGCAATGAGTAACAAACACAAGTAGACAAAACACATGTATGACACCCAAGTGTTTTACAGGCAGCATGGTGTGTGTGTCAAAGTAACGGTTGTTTTGATTTTGCACTAGCTCCTTTCTTAGCTTCCTAGCTTACTTCGTGTTTCATTTTGTTAATTAAATGAATGCACTGCAGCATTATAATGTTTATTTAATATATTAAATGAATGTAAAAAAGTTATTTTTGATTTCAATATTGTTTTTTGTTTTCTATTTGTTCCTATTGTGCACGCATTTCCATCAGCACGTACGTAAACAAGTACAAACGTAAAAAAAAAACACATCTCAACCGAAGGCATGCACAAAAGAAACCTCAACACACACACATTGTATGCTTCAATTTTTGTGTATCTCTTTTCACCCAATTTTCTTTCGACGCTCAAGCGTCGGCATATGTCACACACACATATGCAAAAGAAATACCTACTCACTTTTGCAGCTAGTGTGCACAAACACTCAAATATTTTTGTGAGGCGAGCGATTGTACTCATTTGTACGGTGTTTGAAAACACCCGGGTGTCAAAATCACCCAACATTTACCCGGTGCACCTTGAGTACCGGTGGCTTGTTGCAGTTCTCTGGTGCCTGACTAGAATATATTTTGTAATCTTTTTTTTGAGATATCTACACTGATTGTAATTATGCATATGCCAATTATTTCAGGGATTGATCAATAGACTACATAGTGCAGAAGTCCGTATATAATATGTACTATATACCCAAAGCAAAATACCCATTTTTATACCCTGAACCCATTTTCAATGGGAAATCAGGGTATAATGGTTTTGTTGAAATGTATGTAACAGGGAGAAGGAGGCGTGGCAGACCCCACAAAGTATATATATTCTTGATCAGGGTGACGAGCTGAGTTGATTTGGCCCTGTCCGTCTGTCTGTCCGTCTGTCCGTATGTATGAACGCGTCGATTTCAGAAGATATAAGAGCTAGAGACTTCAAATTTTTTTTAAAATGTCCGTAATTACAGCGCGCATATCAAGTTTATCATTAAAAATCGATAACTCATCCCGATCTTTTTTTATCGATAAAAAACCTTATCGAAACCCAGTTATAAAATTATATCTTCTACACCTTTATTGCTAGAGTCTCCAAATTTTTAATGTATGCTTATATGCAATTTATACAATTTCGGTTTTTGTTAAAATTTACCCCCACCTCTAAATTCACCCCCTCACCCTCACTTTTGTAAAAAGCGTATTTCAAATACTAGAGACTTGTGCTTTGACAATTAAATGCATATTCATGTTATAATCATAATCTAAAAGTTTCATGAAGATCGTACGTCCATAAAAAAGTTATTAAACAATTAAGTTCTCATAGTAAGCGCACACTGCAGCCCATGCGTGTTTATGCGTGGTTGCTTGTATGTGTATGTGTGTGTGTATGTGTGTGTGTGTATGCGTTTGTGTCTGTATGCGTGTGTGTGTGTATGTGTGTCTTTATGCGTGTGTGTGTATGTTTACCTGTGTGTGCGTACGTGCGTGTGTGTGTGTGTGTGTGCGTGTTTCTTGTGTAAGCTGAAAGTCGCGAAAAAGTATTGAAATATCTATTGCTCCAAGGGTTCAGGGGATCTCGTAGTCGAGCAGTCTCGACTAGAGCTTTCTTACTTGTTATCCATTTTCTATGAGCTGAGGGTATTTAAACCGGCTCGGCAATTACTAGGACGCCTCCGTTGCCAGGGCGAGAAATTGCAATGTAAACAGAGAGCCACCGGCTGCCGCTCCCTCTTAAGAGAGCCAGTCCGCTCCACCTCTTCCTCTCTCTCTCAATGGGGTGGGTTCAAGTTAAGCCGGCTCAGCCAAGCGCAACGACGATACTACAGGTGCATCCAAAACTTAAGGGTTTGTCGAGCACTAAATTCGACAACGACCAAGTAAGTCTGTACTAAAGAAGTAGGAGAAGGAGAAGAGGTGCGAGCTTGTGCCTTCAATATTGGTAGATATATGAGCGGGACTGGCCCATTCATGGAGCGTCGCAATTTGAGCTTGGGCGCGTGCGCGTAGTCCCCAACGTAGTCATAGTATCTGCTTTCAACCACTACTATCCAACATTTGCCATTGTTGTTGTTCGTTACGTTTTTGTGTTGTTGTTTTTATGAAGAGCTTAAATGGAAACGCTTGACGAGTGATGTGGAAACATTTTCAACACAGCAGCAACAACTGGAGGGAAGGCGAGTAAAAGCAAAAGCAAAAGCAATAACAAAATATACAACAACCCAGACCCAGAGAGTCTTCAGACGCGACTTCTGCTCACATATGTATGTACGTGAGGAATATACGAGCAACAACAACAACACCAACAACAACTTCTGAGCAACTAAGGCAAACGCACCGGCATTACAGGCTGTTGCTGTTGCTGTTGCTGTTGTTGTACGTTGGCTTTAGCCGTTGTCAGGGGCTTTGGCAACACTATGGAAAATCAGTTTGTGTTTGGACCGCGTTGTGGACGCATGTGTAAAACGAGTAGCTCAATGCTAAAGTGAATAACATAAATCTGCATCGGACCCTTGAGTGTAAATCCACTTTTTTTAAAGTTAATGAATTAACTGCATTGCATTTAAAAAGTGCAGAGGCCAAAGGCCAAAAAATAAAAATTTATAAGAACAAAAAATTAATTACTAGCGTATCATAAGTTAAATTCTTATAAATCGGTTTTTATTCCATACTTATTAGATATTAAATATAAAACAAACTATTTCAATTGCGAGAAAAGTTTTCCAAGTTTACTGAGTATAAAAAAATGTAAATATCCCGAGTTTCATTGCTAACCCAAACTGAGTTGTAATTCCGCCTCAACTAGAGCCACGAGCGTCAAAAATCCTTTTAAAAACCCCGTTGCACTTGCAAAATAGGTTTTCACAGGTGAATGACTTTTTCAGTGCGCTTCCGCGACTTCCGGTCAAAAGCGTTTTCATTTGCGCCAACTCGCCAACCTGCCAACCTGCCAACCTGCCCACCACCTGGCCGCTGGCCAGTGCCGTTGGTCATAGAAAAATGTTTGTTTGGCTGTGTGCGGCGTCTCCTGGCATGCCATAAATCTGGCGCTAAAACACCAGCCAACCAGTGCTGCCGGGTTGGCTTTTTTCCAGTCAGATTTATCCCAAGCGACTGGACACGGAACGTGAGCTTTCAGTCAAACTGGACAAACAGACCCAATTTAAATATTTACCCGCTCAGAGTCCATGTTAGCTCTTTTTCCTGTGGCTGTAGGTGCTGGTCGAGTCTCCCAAATGGGGAAATACTTGTACATACCGTAGAAAAATATTTACGGCTATGTCGGAACCAAGGAAACAGCAGCAAATACCAGGCAATAAATGACTCTGGCTAAAATGCCGCCAATTGCAATGGCAAGCAACAAAGCCAACCAGCCAATGTGTGCTGGCAACCGAACACGAGAAACATACAACAAATGCCAACAACAACAATAACGAGAAGAGGAAGACCAGGAGGGTTGACATGTGTGCGACACTCACGGCAGAAGACAAAGAACGGTTGAGAGTTCGGCTAATGTTCCAGTTGCTTTGGTTTCTGTGCTAAAATGTTTTGTCTGGCTAATAATCTTGTAATAATCTAGATATTTCTCTCTGTCTCTGCAGAGGCAGAGCCCTCCGCAACACTCTTTATAGGTCATATCACATTACAGGCCCATTTCATATATACATATAAATGTTTACATGTATTATCTACACAGTAACATAGCATATGCGGCGCTGATATTTACAGGTGTGCAAAAGATAATAATTCAAATAAGAACAGAGAATTTTGCATAAATTTCATATGGTAAACGGCTCTAGCACTGATATGGAATATATTCTATATGTACTATATATACATGTGTGTGATGTGTAAAATGAATTCATGTGAATAAGTGAATGAGTATATACATATATATACTATTGTAAATTACCCAAATAAAAGCTAATAAACAAAGTGAACGGCGAGAATACCGAACGAATACAGCACGGAAAACAGAAAAAAATATTAATTCAAAGTTAATAAACAATAAATCAAATTCAATTGCCTAAATTATGTTCAACTGCAAGCTGAGCAAATTTAAAGAAAGATTTCTCTGATCCAGCTTGATTATGTTGCTTTGATCAATTAAATATATATATATAAGATATATACAACATTAAGACTAACGAGTATTTCAATCCGAAATAAAAGAGCGCACAATATGTGGATTAAGTTGTGCCTTTTCTTTGCAATCTGTGGAATTTGTTGGCTGGCCGAAGGTAAGCAAATTAAACGCTAATTGAGCTATATCTTAAGAAAATTTTCTGTCAAAATTCTTTGACATTTTCAGTAGTTGTTGTGGGTGCGTTACTCTTGATTTCTTGACATCTGCGTTATTATGAAAACAAACAAAATAATTAGCCGCATGTAAACTGAAGAGTAAGAAGTAATAAACTGAAAAATAGTGAAATTCCAAAACTAACTGGCGCCGTGCAGGCTCTATATAAATGAGAGAAAAGCTCTACAAGAAAAAGACAGAAAAAAAAAACATTAATGTAAAATGTTAAGACTTCAAAACACGTCAACATTGTTCTGGTCCAACGATTTATGACGAATAAAACTATTTACGTGACTTACGGATAGGCAAATCGTAGCCAGAGCTCTTCAGGGGGGGTCTCATGCAAATGGCGTTTTCCTTTTCTGGAACGCCGCTCGAAGTGGAGTAGGTAATTCTGAAAGATATTTACGTACTGCTCCAGTTTTCAGTACCTTTAATATCGGTTCATTACATTGTCATACATCACTGATTACGCAGATACACTATGTATGTCAGATCTCAAGAAATTCTATTTGGAACTTTAATGACATGGCTGTCACTGTTCTTTACCGGTTCGTCGGCTTGACCTGGGCCACAAGAATTGATTGCGACATATTTTGTATACTTATGTTGTTTAACCGTACAGAGAGCAATCAGAGATTGCCGTTGCCGCTGGCAATTTTAGCCCCGAAAAGCTGAAACCACAAAGCCCATTGAAAACCAAAAGTCAGTTTTCAAATATTCGTCGAGCGAAACACATTTCATTTTTCATGATGGAAATCATCAAGCTGAACGAAAATGTATCAAAGAAAACCAAAACAAAAACCGATTGCATACAACTACGTTGAACAAATTTGTTGCTTGAACTTTGTTTTTTTTTTTTTTTTTTTCATTATTTATTTTTAAGTTTTTTGTTTTTGTAACTTTGAAACTTTTCCCTGCCCAGCTAACCGAGTGTGTTTCTTACTCCAGCAGCAAAGCCTAACCTCTCTTTGAATCTGGCACTCTCTCTATCGTTCTCTCCCTCATAATATTTCTTGTGGGTAGCTTCTCACACACTTGCCTAAAATTTGTTTATTTTATTCATATTTTTCAGTCACTTTCATTTAGTTAGTTTATTTTACGCCATCTCTTTGCGAAAACAAACAAAACATATGAAGCTTACGTAATGCCTGCTCATGTGTTTTTCTTTAGTCTCTGCCTAATATAGTCCAACTACTTTCGCGGATTTACGCTTCAGATATTTGAACTTTATGTTTTTGTGGTGACTCCCAATTAGTTTTGCTATAAAACTAATTAAGGCAGTTATGCAATTTTTGGCGAGGCACTTGTCAACAATAAAATTAGTAAGAACGTCTTAGTCTGGTGCAACAAACTATGTAATGCTCGTTGACGGTAAACAAAATTAAATAAATAAAATAAAAATAATAATTGGAAGTTTCAATTTATTCAAGCTTAAAGATCATAGCTCCACAGCTTGTTATTTTCTATTTATTTTCATGTAATTTACGTTAAGTACCAATTATATATTTAATGCCGTGCCACGTTAGCTTTTAACCATGAGAATTCTAGAATATAAAATTTTCAAGAACTTACAGTAAAGCCATAATACTCTTATCAAGTAGAGGAACTTGTTATGTATGAAGAACATGTTTTGAGAAAATGTTTTGTAATGGCATAACGATTTTCATACATCCAGACTTTCGATTGGGGAAAGTAGGACTAGCCAGACTATTCCAGATTACGAATGCATTATCTTTATATTTGCATGCTCACATTGTTTTTCTCTTGACGCGTTCGAAATTCCATGACAAATGTGTAGATTGCGATAATAAGAGCACACGTATTTTCATAAATGCGAAATCTATAAACTGACTTTCCTTTTTGTGAGGAAAGTGAATTGAATTGTTATACGTGGCTTATCAGCATATCTGAAAACTGTGAGGACCGATTTTGCAAATATGATTTCAGCTGACAATTAAATGGATTGTCAAAACATTTAACTGCCAAAGAAAGTGTACTTATGATATTATCATATGTATGTATATGCATTGCACAATGTCATAACAATTAACCTACAATAAAGATCTTGGAACGAAGACGGCACGAGACTAAAAAACAAGCTAGAAGATTTCACCACATCTCAGTCAGTTGTTACTGTTGTATGTATGTATTAGTGTACGCACAGTGACTCAAAAATGTTTTGTTAAGCTTTTTTATGAAATATAAATGCATGTCTATGCATGACTGTTTATCACATATACATGCATATAGAAATGAAAACATGCACAAAAGTTTCCCCTAAAGCCAACGTTTGCAACCTTCATATTGATGGTGTGCGTATACCTTTTGACTCACTGTATATCATCCGCCAGCACTTAGATGTGTCCACGGCTATGCTACAAAGAGAAATTCTCGCCAGGGTCATCTGATGAACCCTAACATTTTGCTCTTGAAACCACTGTCCAGAACCGTTCGTTGTTGTTCGAAAGAACATAACACATTCATACATATGTACTTACATACATATGTATGTCTTTACTGAGCAACTCGTCTTATGGCAGGGGGTGTCCAAGACATAACCGGAACACATTATAGGAAGTTCGCAGTCCAGTTATTTATGTTTTAATTAATTTTTGTACGTTAGTCATTATGAAGTGTGTTATACCATCGTCTTACATATGTTTCGTAAGAATGAATTGTAATACCAACTACATATATAGTTACATACTTATGTGTTTATACATTTGTATGTATTTAAATGATGCAATTAGGGTCCGCTAAGCATAATTAACATAGCATTAGGAATGGTATAAAAGTGCATGCATGCATAGCTCTTAAGATCAATGGGCATTAGTCATTAGTAACAGTTTGTTATATTATATTTTATTTCTTAATTTTTAATAATAATTTAATGCAATTAATGTACTTAGCCAAATACTAAATCTTTGTCACATATCCATATACCTATGCAATTGATTTACATACATATATACGTACATAGTGCAGTGCTCAAAAATTGAGTTTCCTTCCTTTCTTAGATTGGAGTGCCGCAGTCATGAATAGTATACTATATTAGTTAGTCGTATATACATATGAATGTACATACAATACATACATGTGTATGCATGTGCATATGTATGTATGTGGAAATATACATATGTATGTATGCATGTACCTGTACCTATACCTGTACCATCAAAATGATTTTATGAATATCTGTTGAATAGTTTTATCCATGCTGCCCTATCGGTTGACAGATGTTTTATCTGCTTAGTGACTTAAGGCAATCTAAATAACTGAATATGATCTTTAGTGCAATATGATCTGCATGATGATATGATGATAAGCATGATCATAAGACAACGCCAGACACAGTTTGTAAACAAACGTCAATTCACAGTTAACAGTTATTTCTTGCATTTGCCGTTTGCCTGCACTGACGAAATGTCTGTGAAGCAATTTGTATAATTGATTAAATATCAATATGATAACGAACTGAATTCATAAATACTAGAGCCTATCCAGAAAGACAAAGACGAAGCAATTTAATCCTCAGGTTATGATTCATACAATTGGCGCTGCCTGGGCAAGACCGAAGCACATTCACACATATGTACTTATGTGCATACATACACACTTTGACGGGCAGCTTGTGGTCTTCAACACAAAGTTGGATTTGGTAGACAGCCGTCGCATCCCAATTGCAGCGAACCGTTCGCCAAAGAGTGAGAGATAAACGGAAGCTTAGTAGAGCGCATCGAGAGTACGAACAAACATGTCCGCCGCTGGACAGTGTAGTACACTGTTACAATTTACTTAAAGCTCACTAATTGCTTGCTAACAGGAAATAGAGTACAGCTAAAAGGGAAAGAGTGAGCGAGAGAGTGTGTGTGTGTGTGAGAGAGGGAGAGAAGAGAGAGAGAGAGAGAGTGGTATGGGAGTTGCACAGTTTCACTTTATGTATTTATTTTTTCATTTTCACTGCAGTTGCAAACGCAGCCATACTCGACTCCAGATGCTATTTAGAGGGCGGTGGGTCGGCGGAGAGCTTTCTGGCTACCGAAGATCTTCCAGTGGGCTCCATCATTGGCAAACTGCGAATTAACGGCGATCCCAATGCGGACACCGGCGACATTAATCTGTCGCTAAGAGAGAAGAACGCGCCCGTGCAGATTGTGGCAGGGACCAAAGATCTTGTCCTATCGGTAGAGCTCGATAAAGAAGGCCTTCGAGGACCATCGTCGATCTATGTGAATGTCATTTGCATACGAAGACGATCGACGGATCCGGTAAGTCCAAAAAAATTTGATTATTTTTGTATGTTTAGAAAATCGAAGAATATGTATAATATGTTTTATAAGTCTAGTTTGGAATTTCAGGGCTTAACGTATAGCTAAAGTCTTGATATTTTAAATCTATACACGTGCACACCACGAGCCTTACAATATTATAAATTTATTTCAATTTCTTATTCGGAGTTTCAAGCAGTTTTTTTTGCTCTTCTTGAGATTAAGGTAAGCTTACGCAGCGTTCGAATTAATAGTGGTCAATTTTTTCTTATCTCTTAAGTATACCGTTTTAGTAAATTACTCATATTTTTGTTGTTGTTGGAAAGAGAGCATTATTTTTTTTTTTCATCATGAAGAGAATAAAATTATCTTTAAGACGAAATGAATTGGTATGTGTTATCTTTAGTAGTATTGACAATATAGTGTGTTAAACATTGCGCACTGCAAAAAAAACATGCTGTTCGAATTAATAGTGGTTTGGGCTCGTAGTCGGGCAGTCCACAGTGGAGCACTTTTACTCTTACTTTTTTTGTCTTTAAATGTCAAAAAAAAAAAAAAAAAAAAAAAACAAAGCCTAGTGACCAATTTCATTAACCCTAACATGGAGTTCAATTACATTATTCCCCGAATGTTCTTGGAGTCAAACTCTTAGACGCATACAGCACCTGCAGAAGTTTCATTCCTTCTTTCATGCGATGCAGTCCACCAATACGTAATGGGCAACCAATTAACCTAAATCGACACTGGCTCCACTTATTCCCTATGGAAGTGGACTTTGACGTTGGCTATGCGTATGCCGTTGTATTGAGGGGCGTAATCTCGCAATACAAGCGAGGTAGTTAAATGAAATCGGGTAAACACGATTCGAAATGTTCACACTCGCATTTGGCCCATTCAACCCCATTGGGAGGGAATTTACAGAAGTTGCGGCTATTTCTTGTACTCTATAAACAATTGAAAACTTTTCAGACAACGACGCCAATTTCAATTTTAGAATCAACATAGCAGAAACCAACTTAAACTTTTACTTCCATTGGGATAAAGAGGAGGACGAGGACGAGGACGAGGACGAGGCCTGTGGCTTACTGTGGGCCTAGGCAGTGGCCATAAATTAGCCATTAGTACTTCCGTAGTTTCTTTGGGGTTGCTCTGTGAGCCCTCTAAACATGCAAATATATGCAGTGTTTTTTGAAAGGGCGGGACGTATTGGGGAGCAATTGAGGGCCTAGTGCTAAGCACGTATTCCTAAGCTGTTGGCGCTTTGAACTCATTTTTGGGGTCAGTGACCAGGACTTGCCTATTGTTTGTTTGCTCGGCAGTCCGCCGTAGGTCTCAAAAGGTGTTTATCTTTAAACTCTTTAATCAATGTGGAGCCTTTGTTCTTTATTGTTGCAGAGCTTCGTCATTCCCGTCAATGTCCGCGTCACGGACGTCAACGATAATGCACCGCAATGGATTGGCACACCCTATACGCTGACCCTCTCGGAGGTGACGGTGCCCGGTACACGGATACTTCAAGGAGCCCGCGCCGAGGATGCCGATCAGCCAGGCCCCTTCTCCACGGTTGAGTATCAGGTACTACCCGGTCCATATGCGGAACTGGTGCAATTTCTAAATCCACTCGAGGGCACGTTGGTGCTAAAGAAGGCGCTCGACTACGAGCAACTCCAAAACTTCACAGTCAAATTGCGAGCCCAGGACCAGGGCACACCCCCACGGCATTCGGATACGCTTCTACGTGTCGTCATAACAGATGCTGATGACCAAAATCCCAAGTTTCTACGTGAATCCTACAGTGCTGAGCTACCCGCAGATGGTCGGGCTGGCGAGCTGCGAGTGCGGCCAGAACCCTTAAAAGCCGTTGATCAGGATGAGGGTATCTGTGCGCCCATCCAATATACCATTGTGCAATCGCAGGATGCAAAGTATTTCCGCGTGCATCCACATAATGGAGTGATTACACAGCTCGCTCCCATCGGTTACTCAGACCTTACGCATGGGGCTACGCTGGTGGTCAAGGCTACGCAGATAGATAATCCGGACCGATACGCTCTGACCACAGTGCAGCTAACCCGGCCGGGCACCCACAGTGATCTCAGCTCACTCGCGTTTGTTCAGAAACGCTTTGTGATGCGCATACGCGAGGACACGGCTGTGGGCAATCGCATCCTGGCCCTGCCCACCAACAAGCCTGGCAAGCACCTGAAGTACACTATTGCAGATCCAATCAATTCGCAGTTCTTCAGCATTGGCTCACTGGGGGAATTGGTGCTGGCAAAGCCGCTGGACTACGAGAAGATGACCAAACACGAGTTCCAGGTCATAGCTAGCGATGGTCTTACCAACAGCACGACGGCCGAGGTCACACTGGAGGTGATTGATGTCAACGACTGGGAGCCACGCTTCCGGGAGACACACTACGAGTTTGTGGTGCCCAAGAGCGTAAGTTAGAGGAGAGGGATGCAATGAATATAAATATTAATGAATAGTTCCAATCCGATTCCAGCAGTCACTGCAGTCACGGACTGACTCTTTTGAGGGTGTGCTAATTGGCAAGGTGGAGGCGGCGGACGGAGATCGTAACGACAAGCTGGAGTTGTCGTTGCGCGGCCAGCATGCGGGTCTCTTCGAAATCGATGCAACGGGAAACATTTATATGCGCCCGGAGCAGCTACAAAGTCTGAACGAGTCCACGGTCCACCTGATTGCTATTGCCACGGACTCGGGTGTACCGCCACGTAGCACCTCTGTCCCAGTCAGCGTCACAATGGAGGGACTTACCCTCGCCCAGTCCGGCTGGAACAACAGCATGCTGGGCATGTTTGGGATGATTGTGGGTCTGTTCCTGTTGATCATCATGGCGCTCAGCTGTTATATCGTGCGTTCCAAGAAGCAACGGAAGAGCAGCCCCGGCGGCCTCAGCCTCGGACGCAATCGTGTGCACAGCCAAGCGCACAGTAGCGTGTCCTCTGCCAACCTGGTGACACATGAAAAACTGGCGGGCAACGGCAATGGAGCCACTGTCACCAGTGGTGGAGTCTCCGTTCTGCATATGAAGCATCCCAGCAGCAACATCAGCATGGCCAATCCAATTAACAATGGGCTGCATCATGTGGGAAATGGCGCCAGCAGCAGCATGGTGCTCAGCAGTGCCAGCAATTTGTTGGAGCGAGAGCGTGAAAGGGAGCGCGAGCGGCAGCGGGAAAGCTATGCGGCAACGGTGCGCAGTAAGTATTGTCCGATTTAATCCCCACCATCCCAATCAGCCCAGAACATTCACTATAAGTAGTCTTCTTACCAGGCATCGTATCGCGCGCCTCTGCCAACGGGCAGCTCTACGAGGAAGACGAGATCGAGCACGACTCCCTCTCGCAGCAGGGCCAACAGCAGCAGCAGACGACGCCGGAGAACAACAATCGCAAGACGGTGGCCGCTGTGACGGGAGGCATCACGACGATCACCACGACGGCAAATGGGGCTGTGAATGGGGGTGCAGCTGCTTCCAATCTGATGACCGCGTCGGATACGATGGGCTCATCCGAAAACAATTTGACAGTCTATTTCTAGTTGAGCACAAGTTAAGCTAGAGACGATTTCAGCCTGTAAATATTGCTTACCTTAATATAAACTTCAGTAGGTCTTAAGTCCAAGTCGCGTCTAGGTTTTATGCCCAATCATTGTAAATGTAGTAGACCAAATATAGCATTGTAAACATCCAGCACTTGTAGTTTAAGCAAGCGAACTCCATTGTACAATTTTGCTACCCACTTTTTACGATACTTTTTAACGACAAGCTTAAGAATAAACTCTATGAAACTAATTTGATAATATAAAAATTCATTGACTAGGACTGGTATTAAGATTCATAGAGAAGTTTCAAATTCACATGGAACTTAATATGGTTTATATACATGTAGTTTGAAACTGATTTTTAGAATCGATTGCTTTTATTATGTTTTGTCTTAAATTCTAGTTCGTTTCAGCGTAATGTGTACAGCTTTGGCATGCATTTTTTTAGGTAACGAAACAAAAGTGAAAGAATTTGACTTATGGACTAAAGCCAGGAAATATAAAAAGGACTTTGAATTGCACCAAATACCAAACAGGAAAGAAAACTTATTTGGGAAAAATAAATTACATTAATTTAGTTAATGACAGATAGATGAAAAGTATCCTTTTGGTTCTAGGTTCTAGCTGACATTGCGCGTCTTTTTACGCTTAAGTAGATTGAAATCTCCATATTTTATGTGATTGTCGGTCAGGAATGGCACGTAGAAGGCGCGCAGCACCTTGTGCGATTTTTCCGGTATGAGGAATGGCAAGGATTTCATGATAGACCAGTCCTTCGTTCGCCTCGAATAGCTCGGCTCGAGTGTTGTGTATTTGCCCTCATCGAAGTCCAAGAGGAAGTGGCACTGATCGTAATCAAAGTACATGTGCTCGTTTTCCAAGTTCTGGTCGTTGAAATAAGGATGCACCACCTGGGTGGCATTGGCGCCTTCCGTGTAGTAAGCGGGCAACATGCCGCGGAACTCCGACTTCAGAAAACGCAATCGGAAATTGCGTGCCGGGAAAAAGAAGCTGCCTGGATAGCGATACCAGTCCTTGCCAATGCATACGTTGTAGATTTCATCCGGACGATACTGTGGCGAATTCTTAAACTGATTGAGCTCCAGCATTAGATCCATTGGCGCATGATAGTTCCGATAGAGAGCAAATACTCGCGAGAGACCCAATAAAGTGCTGGCCACCATCACGATAATTGCAATGAACATGCTGTGGTCTAAGTAGTGAACGCCCGACTTGATCTTAAACACCAGCGTCTTGATACGGAAGAAGATGCGCTGATAGACGTCCACAGTGATGGCGCCACAGAGGGAGATTAGTGGGTACACCGGAAACAGGAAGCGCTCCTCCTTGTGAGGCTGTGCCATGAAAACCACCAACCAGAGATAAAGAGGCGCCAGAGATATGTAGCGCGGAAAGTTGAGCGTCGACTTAAACTTGGCGGGCACAATCAGATAATCCATGAGTAGCATAATGGGTAATTGGAGTGCCAACAGCTAAAAATGCGAAATACGCCATGAGGAATCTACTATCCCTGTAAGTTTAGCTCTGTTACTCACCCAAATAATATTGAAGTTGAGGAAACCATTGAGGATGTAGTAGCTGAGGGGCTCGGTGCCAAAGATGTTCGGTCCGTGGCTAGTGAACACATTATACCAAACAATGTTTAGGGGCGCAAAGGTCAGTTTGCCAAAGTATTTCGTGTCGATGGCAATCATGGGCAGTGCAATTGTTAGGCCAGAGATCAATGTCCACTGTATAAAGGTGCGCCAATCGCGCTGCCGAAACAGCAATTCCAGCACTAGTGGAACTCCAATTAGCGCCGCAAAGGGCCAGCCGAGCAGTGCCGAGATGGCGGTAAAGAATATGGCTAGGCTGTAGCGCTGCTGCCACCAGGCAGCTAGGGCAGAGCAACCAAAGTACATAGAAAACGAGGATGGCAACAGTGCAGTGCTGGACACAAACATGCCCACACTGAACAGCTGGAAGATCAGCCAGAGACGACCAACGTGTATGCCAAACTCCTGGCAAATAGATCTGCAAAGCAAGTCACGGATAACTGGGCTCAATCTTTTCAAGACGATAACTCACTTGTACATAAAGCGCTCCATGAGCGCACAGCCAAAGCCCAGCATGCAGCGAATCATATAGAAAATCAATATCGGACTTGGATTGAACAGCTTCTGATAGATCCAACCAGGAACGCCTTGCAGAAGCAGATATGTATAGGAACGCAAACCGAACTGCGGGCTATACTCCCAGGTCTGCAGACCATGGCCGTTGATTATGTAGTGTAGCGGTTCCCAGTAATTGAAAGTCTCATCACAGTCGGAAATGTACGCCCAAATGGCGCTGCAGAGACGCGCGCTCACAAATGTTTTGAAGGCCGTATGAACACTGGGCATAATCGGATTGGGGCTGGACTGAGTCTTATCGGTTGCGTTTGGTGCGGTCGCTGAGTTTTTACTAACAAAATAAAAAGTGATTAGTTGTTATTGTTGTCATTTTATTATTATGCTGTATGTAAGCACTTCTTCTTCTCCTTTTTGTTGCCGGCAACGGCGACACCGGCAGCATCTTTGTTGCCATTAAGACGTTTCGGTGGTTTTTTGGTGAGTATCTGGTTGTCCGCCTTGTTGGCATTATAGCGCGCCCTTGCCGCCGGAGGAGCCATATTTAATTATCCCCTTTTCCAACTGTTTTTTTTTCCACACACAATTAACGCGAGCAGAAAACCAGCGTGTGAAACAACAACAGCTGGCAAAGTCTAAACGAAGCGAGTTGGCAAGCTCTTTTGGGAAAATTAAATCAAATGCAATGCATAACAAATAAATTATTAAAATCATATAGCCATCATGATATAAAATATTAAATTACTTCACCTATTAAGTCATTGAGATGTTAATATTAAACAAGAAGTATTCGATTCATTTGTTTACTATGACGTCATGTATTTTGGGTTGCTGAAAGCGCGAATTTCTCTGCACAACCTTATCGTCTTTGGTATACTTGACATTTCTTAGGTTTTTACCACGGTGGCAACCCAAGATGTCCATATTTACATACATGATATATCGCCGGTTTTCTGCACAACCTTATTTCACTTTGTGGACATGCTCTTGCTGTAAATTTTTACCACGGTGGCAGCTCTGCCTTCACAGCTGGGCAATCGACATTTTGCGATTGCATCTTTTACGTGCCGTTGCAATTAATAAAACATTTGAGCCTCAACATGTCTAAGGATGAGAAGGACAAAGTGCAAATTATCGACAAGGAGCTAGACCTGTCGAATGCAGGTCGTGGCGTTTGGCTAGTCAAAGTACCCAAATACATTGCACAAAAATGGGAAAAGGCGCCGTCCAACATGGACGTTGGCAAGCTGCGAATTAGCAAAACACCCGGGCAGAAGGCCCAAGTTTCACTTTCACTCACGCCGGCAGTGCTCGCCCTTGATCCCGACGAAAAAATACCCACAGAGCATGTGCTCGACGTGTCACAGGTTACAAAGCAGACCCTAGGCGTTTTCTCCCACATGGCTCCAACGGAAGCGACGACTGCCGCCGCCAACAACGGAAAGGAAAATGGATCAGCTGCAGCTTCTGCGACGCCAGACAGTGAGAAGCTATATATGGAGGGGCGTATCGTCCAAAAACTCGAGTGCCGACCCATTGCCGACACTTGCTACATGAAGCTCAAGCTCGAGTCCATACGCAAAGCCTCCGAGCCACAGCGCCGAGTGCAGCCAATTGACAAGATTGTGCAAAACTACAAGCCAGTTAAGGATCATGCACACAATGTAAGACGAACGGCATCGACTATTTTGCTGCAACAATTAATAATATCTTACAATTTAGATCGAGTATCGTGAGCGCAAGAAAGCGGAGGGCAAGAAGGCACGTGACGACAAGAATGCTGTGATGGATATGCTTTTCCATGCATTTGAGAAGCATCAGTACTATAATATTAAGGACCTGGTGAAGATAACCAATCAGCCTATTAGCTACCTGAAGGAAATACTTAAAGATGTCTGCGATTACAATATGAAGAACCCGCACAAGAATATGTGGGAGCTCAAGAAAGAATATCGCCACTACAAGACTGAAGAGCAGAAGGACGAGGAAAAAACAAAATCAGAAGGCAGCAGCGATTCCGATTAGTTTTAGAATTTTAATTTGTATTGTTCCCATAATCTTTCAATAATCAAGTACTCGGTTTAGCGCAAAGTAAATTCAACCTAATTTGTAACGAAATTCTCGAATTTTTAATACGTATTGTATAATTCCCAAACATCCCATATATTTCAAACAACATGCGTTTAAGTTTCTTTTACTTTTTCCATTGCATTTATATGCTTTCTTAATATACTACAAAAAAAAAGTTGCTTTGTTTTTGCACATTCATAGGTATGTATATATAATATATGTTGATGTAAATAGATACATTTTTGCATCGGTGTACATAATATATTTTTTTCTTTAAAAAAAATCTTTTCGCTACACTAGGAGATCAGGTACTTGTTTTTCGTAGTACTATTAGCTCTACATGATTTCCAAAATATGTCCCTCTAGTTGATTTAAATTTTATACATTTTTTCATTGAAACTTTTGCCTGCTGAAAGATAATTAAGGGAAAATAAATGATAATGATTAAATGAAATGAAAAACTAAGAAATAAATGAATAATGTGGGATAAATTGAACGTGAAAAGAAAAAATAAAATGAAAAATATAAACCAAAATAAATTGAGTGTAAGAAAATTAATTGTGAATGAAAAATTAAATGTAAAAAAAAAAACTGATGAAAACTAAAATTAGAAACAGAAAACGGTAAAGTTCAAATATAAGGAAATCGAGCCTAAATAATACTGCTTCAATTTGCTTTTTACACTAAAGAACCTAAAGTAAAGCAATCTAAAGACTGGCAGCATAAAATAACACTAAAATTGTAATTAAAGTAAATAAAAAAAAAGCTCTTAGAATTAAATTTTGTACATGTCAAGACAAAAAAAAAAAAAAAAAAGATTTCTATATATACATATATCGTCGAATATTGCATTTGTCAGTTACGCGGCCAACGTAGGTTTTTAACTTTGTTGAATGCCTGCGAAAGGGGTAGCAGCCCATGCAATATCAGCGGCTGCAATAAATAATTGTTAGTGGCTTTAAAATATTCGTGATATATAAATAAAACGTTTACACTAGGAATGCCTACGGGGGTGGACATCAAATTCTATACACTTATATACCCATCTATTCAAATATGATACAAAATTCTTTATCGAGAGCCAGTCCATCAAACAGAAACTAAAGACACACACGAATAGTTAGTATACATCGGCTGTTATGTATCTAGGGACCAGCTAGACACCGAAGATGCCAACCCCGAGTCGGCATCCTCCGGACGTCCATTTGCCTTGGGAACCGGTGTTATAAGTCGTACGTTGTTTACATTAACTGTTTTAAGACAGTGCTGTGGTTGGTGAAGCGGTGTTTTCGTTTTTTGTGATGTGCCCGCTACCTGTTTCCCTCGATGGCAGGCATTGTCCATATTGCCAATATCATCCTCCGGGTTCACTTGTTTCCTCTCCGTGCTTATTAAATTCATTTTAAACTGTTTCATCTCAATGGGCTTGCTTTTATCGCGCTTATCTATTTGTAGATCGACGTTGCGCTGATTCGTCTATTATAAAATATTTAAAATTGTTATAAAATACATCAAATAAAATATTGCATCAATGTTATTCACCAGCAGTAATGAGGACAGCATATAGCAACACAGTTTGGTTGGATCCTTATCCTCCAGCACGTCCGCCAAAGTGGCCACTCCACCTCTTTCCTGACACTTCGCTATTATCTCATCGTTTAAATCCCGTATACTAAAATTTTGACGGGCGTGTGCTGCTTCCAATGTGGGCGCAAGCCTACGATGCCAGTCAATAATCTGTAAGTCATAACGATATCATTAAAATGTGAAATTAAAACACCTAAAAGTACGCGACAGTTTCAACTTGACGTTACCTAATCATCTACAATTGACTTCCTGATATAATTATTTATATAATTAATAATCAGGACTGCTAATATGCATTAAGTCAGTAGAAGTAGACTGCTATCCAAATATTTCTTACCTTGGCGTCAGTCTCAGCGTCTATGCTATTGCAGTTTTCTTGGAAGCTCGAATTGCAAGATTCTGCATCCCAGTCTTGATCCAACTCATTGGCTGTATCCACATTCGACAACTCAGTTATGTTTTCAGCTGGGGCATACAAAGAAATTGTGTTCTCTTTTTTGATATTCTGTGCGATTGTATCGTCAGCGATTGGCTGTGTTTTATTTAATTCCGCTGCATCCAATAGAATTTCAGGTAAAGTCATGTCCTTCTCTGTTTGCTCTAAGCTTCTAGCTGGTTGAATTTCTGCTGGGTCCGATTCTTCTTCTATAGCATTCAAATCGGGCAATCCATCAGTGTCCACATCAGCGATAATTCCATCGTCCGCAGGCGAATTTGACATTCTAGCCTCCTCCTGATCAATGCCTGAATCGTAAGTAGGACGCCTGAAGCCACGAAAGTCTACAAATGTAAGATATCAAAACGTTAAACATCATAAACGACATTTTCTATATATTAGCATACTTTCGTCTGCATCGAATTCCATTTGATCCAAAGGCCAGTCTAAGAAACTACTTTGCGACGTCGAGGAATTCGTGGGCGAGGAAGCGCGGAAAATCCTAGGCGCCGGGGCAGCTTTCGGTTCAGTCTGTCGCTTACTTGGGATGCGCTGTAAATAGTTATATATGCATCAATACAATGATTTTAGTATTGCATTTACTTATAGATGCTTACCGCTTTCTTAAATATATCAAACTCTTTGTTTAGCTTAAACATGCAATCTCTGCGTAGCTTTTTTTCAGGTAGCAGAAACAAATTTAGCCTAATTGCAAAGTGCACATCGCGTTGCACCTGGATAATCTCCTCTACGATCGTTTCATTGATGCCACTGAGTGCCAGCATTTCGGCATCGACACGAACGCTAAGATTCGCTTTATCTGGCACGCCGGGCAATATGTCGTGCACCATTACCTTGGGTGACAGTGAGTGGAGACGCTGCTCCTCTATTAAATCTGTAAGAACAACACCCTCGTCATCAAAAGATTGAGCTGCACATGATTGGATGCAGGCAGCAGACAACAAACGAAATACATACGTAAATAAAAATAAAAAATAAACAAAGAACGTGAGTCAAAAAATGTCTACAAAAGAAAAGATTAACAAAAAACTCAGCCTGATTCTCTTTAATATAACGCACGAGTCAACATTGAGCGTGTGTTTAGCTTACCTGCTGGCAGAGTATCGCCTGCGTCATCCATCCCAATGCCGGAATCGATTTGCAGCAACTGCTCATTGTTCTCGTCGCCTTTGCTAGCTGAGCTGAGCTCTAATTGCAACTGACTGTCGTCAGTGTGTGACTTCTGTTGCGTCTGCTGATCCAAGCGCGTGCTGTCCATGCAGCTGGCATCATTCACGGCTAGCGAGGATTCTTCGAGGTGATTCTCCATTGTATCCACAAACGTCGTTTTGAACGAGTCGTTGATCATTGACTCCGGCTGCACTCCACTCATATCCTCACTATTAACAACATCATCTGCTAGCCTCATACGCTTCGGACTTTGTCCACTACTGTGCAACAAAGGTTTCTGCAAATTTTCCAGCTCCAATCGCAGCCGCTTCGCCTTCTCCTTTTCATCGGCAATCAGCGTGCGTTTCAGCAATGACTTCTCCCCATAGCGAGAAGCTAGCATTTGATTCTCCAACGCTATGTACTCATCTAAGTATTCCTTATTGCTCATGTTCCTGTTTAGAGTGTCAGACAAATTCACTTGATTCCTGTTCACATACTCCTTGATAAGATTCAGACGGTCAAACTGAATGTCCGGCAGAAGCGTATTGTATCTGGGCTCCGGATGGTACGTGAATACTTTGTAGTTCTTCTTCTCATCTTTTTCGTAGGGGTTGGCTGGATCCATAATCGAAGCGTATTTCCACATATGCGACGGAGTGTGATCCTGATACATATGCTCGACTGTACGGTTTCTATTTCTATTTGTTTCAAAGCCAACGCGACTAAAGCGTTTCTCCTCCGACATTATTTTGAATTTTTTCGGTTCCATCTTGTACGAAAATGGATCAAATTCCTTCTGCGTAAGCTTCTTAACTCGACGCTTCCGTGGCTCCTCCGGTTTGCTAGCATCTTTATTACTACAAAACGCATTAAGATTAATAAGTTTAGTGACGAAAATTATCTACACTATCATAACTTGTCAATAACTTAAAAAAAAAAAATGAATGTAGCCGAAGAATCAGAAGAGAATTACAGAAACAGCGATAAGCAAGCATGATAAGATGTCCGACACAGACTGCATGGCGACAGATCTTCACATGATGAGCCGCTAACCATATGGCATGTTTTCTTCTTACTCACTTATTAGTGTTCTCATCCTTTTTGGGATCTGCTATGAGCAGAGCCTCGATTTGATGCTCCACCACTTGGTACATGTACTCCACTCTGTCGCCATAGACCTTGCTGCAGTATTGAAGAACATTTCCGGCGGCAGCAATGACCGAACGGCGCGGCACTTTCGACCCGGAGACTTGCCTTAAGAACTCATCCATATACTAAAAATACACAAATGCGATAAACCGCATATAATAAAATAATTCAGCTACTTACATAGGATAGCGACAAACGCAAATCTGTCGAGAAATCTGTATTTTTCGACACCTCTTCCAGGACCAGCAGAAGCGTTGCCAGACTGGCAGACTCGTGGTAGGCAAGAATTGCCTTAGCCACATTGGTGCTAGGCCTACTATTTGCGATTTCCAGCAAATGTTTTATTACATCACTTGTGCCAGCCCTCGGTGCGTCTGTAAGCAAATATCAGAATATCAAATATCAGTGCCTATTGTGTTTTTTGGCTGGTTTCTTTTATTTTTGGTTTGGCGACAACCGCTTAGATTAAAATAGAGTCTGACTTAATCACCGTAAAATGTATCGCCATCTTCGCTTGGCCGCCGTCGATGAGAGCTGTTCATGGCGAGAGCAAAGAACCAACTGACTGACCAATTGAGCGAACGACTTAAAGCGATCTTCATACATAACGCACGAACAATAACACGTGTATATGCACATACACACGTGTATATGAGCGTACTTACACAAGCAGATTTGAATCATTGAAGCCTGTACCAATGTGTGTTTGTATGCATAAAATGTGTAGCTGGCGTTATCAACAGGAATTGCTAGGGAACACTTACCGTCTTCAGTATCTGTATCCATTTCACTGTTTCTTTAACGACGTAATGAGAATCTCAAAACAAACAAGCACAGTTTGTATATATTTTCCGGAACTGTGTGCATGCCTCGCAGTATGCATACACACACACACGCAAACCGTACACAATTAACATGGGGCGCGACAAGCGTCTCCGCAACAAAAATGGTGGAACAAATATTTGTTTGTCTGCAGTAAAACACGTAAATTAATATTAACGCATGAGCAACCGATTTTTATTTTAATATTTAGGAATTATAAATGGCGCGAACTGTATCTTCTTTCCAATTAACTCTGTATGCATCTATGTACTCACGATTTTGTTTTGCTCTCTCAGTTTTAGAAGCAAAAATTTTCTCACAGGGCTGAATTAATTTCTACCAGACGCCACCCGCTAATAAAATGAACTAGTACTTCAGTGTGATAGTATTTTTATGCAATGTTGGTCACATCTAATTACGGAACCACATCATTTGCAATGAAGACCTCTCATTTAAAATAAAAAAGGTATAATCACATATTTTTAAAATAGGCCCTCTGAACCAAGTATTTTAAGTTCAAATTCTGCATTAAATTTCTTTAACAACACTGCAAGTATTTACAAATTTATTAATATATTTTGAATTTCAATTATTACAAAAATCGATATTTCGGAATAACTTCACGATAATTATAAATATGAATCAACTCTGTTAGTGCACTATGCATGTGTAGACATTTTGCTCAATTTGGCGTTTTATAAGTCTCCACTTTCTTTTCGGTGTTAAAAACTAAGCGCTCAACATGGGTCGTATGCATGCTCCAGGGTAAAATGGACCTTCGATAGGTGTAATGAGCAAGAGTTCTCGTAGCATTAACCTGCTTAATGTATGAAAACATGTGTAATTATTGCTAGACACATTCACGTTTACTATGTGACGACAAAGATGCCATGAGCAGAAGCACATGTTGCCTACGATAACACTTGCCGCTCTTGTTGTCAGTTTCAAGAGAGATTAACAATTGCTTTATTTACAGCAAGGGTATTTCCCAATCAGCTTTACCATACAGACGCACAGTGCCATCATGGCTGAAACTAAACGCTGAAGATGTTAAGGAACAGATCAAGAAGCTTGGCAAGAAAGGCCTGACTCCCTCAAAAATTGGTATTTTTATTTGTGTTTACGCTTTGAGGTTATGTTTACTGAATTTTGCCATCAATCGTAGGTATAATTTTGCGTGATTCTCATGGCGTGGCTCAAGTGCGCTTTGTTAACGGAAACAAAATCCTGCGCATCATGAAGTCGGTTGGTCTGAAACCCGACATTCCTGAGGATCTATACCATATGATCAAGAAGGCCGTCGCTATCCGTAAGCACTTGGAGCGCAATCGCAAGGATAAGGACGGAAAGTTCCGTTTGATTCTGGTAGAATCTAGAATTCACCGTCTGGCACGCTACTATAAAACAAAGAGCGTATTGCCTCCCAATTGGAAATACGAGTCCAGCACAGCATCTGCTCTAGTAGCTTAATTAAGACATGTTTTTTTTACGCAAACTAAATAAACAAAAAAATATAAACAATGATTTATATTCAAACCTGGTCAAATATTTGGAAATCAATTGTGAGACTGGTATTTTGGATTTTAAAATCAATCTATTTTCAGCGAAAGATTGGGAATTAAACGATCCCTTTTGGATATACATATGTATATACTATATATAAACACATAGATATAAAAACAAAGTGTGACCAGGTAGTGTTTTTCAGGCTTCTTTTAGTGCCTTATTTATATTTTATTTACAACAGCTAATGAAATGAAATAGTTCATCAAAAAGTATAAATGGAGCTCGAAGAGATTATCGCAATACATGTGGAAGCCATCGAAGTGATTTTAAATCATATACTTTATATACGTGGCGTTTATCCGGCACAAATCTTTAAGAAACGTCGTGTCTACAACACCCCAGTCTTTATAGTCGCTTTCCCAGCCTTGAATTCGTACCTGGCAAATATTTTGAAAACTGTGCAGAATTTATTGACAAATGCGGTGCAACAATTAAAGCTGGAATTAATTATATACTCAAACGAAGCGGAGCATAAGGAGAGCTACTTTCTGGAAATGCAACCAGGTCAGGCTGATTTCACACAAGACCAGTATTTAATGGACTACGAGCAACAGTTAAGGGCAGCCCTCTACAAATTCGCGGATCGCGTAAAACATTTGCCAAAACTTGGCCAGAATGCCAAGTTTAAGGTCCATATACATACAACACAGACGACATTTACACAGCTCAGCCACGACGCGCAATACCAGGAGTTTCCCTGGCTGCAGTCAACTGAAAGTCCGCACCAGCTGAAGCAACAGAAATTATGTCTGCTGCCATTGTCTAAAGTTGATAAAGTCGGTTTGCGAATGGAGGCATATATATCCAATTAGTTGTACAACTTTAATTATTAAGCATTAAATTTTAGATGACTTTTGCCAGCTCATATTGTGAAAAAATCACTCATATTTTGCAGGAAACTTTTACCATTAATAATTAATTGTCAGTTGCCAATCGATTTTAAATGGTTTTAAGAGCAACACACAGCATCCGCGGGAAAGTGAATACTAATGATATATATATGTATATAATATTTAAATATATTTATTTTGTAGAAATTTATATAATTCTTTTATACTTTACTTGTACAAGTATTTTCTCCGAATTTTTTTATTGACTGACAAAACATTTAGTGACATAAATTGCATAGTTCGTTTTAGAGCAATCCTTGTCGCTTAAGGTCCTCGAATGTCTTGCGATTCACCACATTGCCGAGCGTGTCCTCGAACTCCTCCTCCTGGTCAGCGATCCAGCGCTCGCTCTGCTTTTGCGACTTGAGTTTCTCCCACAACGTGATCGCATCTTCGATCTGAGTAACATTCGCAAAATGCGCCGTATTCGGTATGCCCAAGCAGCGCATTCCGTGCGCGTGTCGCCACTCGGCAAAGTGCCGCTGGAACGCCTTGGGTCCCTTGTAGGTAAAGTTGCCACAAATTTCGCAATTGTAGCTGATATTCAGGCCGTGCAGCTTATAGAGCCAGTAGGGTATGGGCTTGCCATCCCAGCCCAATGGCAGATTCTTGGGATTGAAGGGCACATCATCTGCATCGGGATCATCGTCATTGTCCGACTCGCTGGCCTCGACATCGCTGTCGTCCCGCTCGCCTCCAGTACGCGCTTGCTTACGCTGCACATTCTCCTTGGTCGCCGCTCTTTGCTCGGACAGCAGCTCGGCGTATTTATAGAGCAACGCTTCCAGCTGTGCGATTTCTTTATTCCGCTCATTCTCGCGCGTTTGTGCGTTGGCGCTTTTTGCTGTTGTCTTCTTAGCCATCAGCGCGGGGTCCAAGGTAGTCTTCCCCTTCGTTTTAAACAGACGTTGAGCCCGTTCCTCCAAGGTGCCGCCGCACTTAAGGCCCAGGGCAATCAAGCCGGATTTAAGACGATCCAAGCCAAGCGAAGCCAGCTCTTCCCAGCTTGAGAAGGCGGAGAGATCCAAATGCGCACCCGTGTTGGCGAGTGCCGATTCTGTCTCCTTCAACGACCAGCCAGGAAAGGTGCCTTGAAGCCATTGGCGCTGAAAATCAAGCTCCACTTTAACTAGCTCGCTGTCAAGGTCTAGTAGCGGTTGGATGCGCAATATGAAGCTGTGTAGATAATTATTAAGCGTCTCAATGTACTTGCGGTACTCGCGGTTTTTACGCTCACGTGGTATATCAAAGACATGGTCAAAGGACATTAGGTACGTGATATAGTCCAACTTTTCGACACCACGCAAATTCAAGTAGAGTTCATAACATTCATTTAGGTCCAAGTACCGCCCGCCGCCTTCTTCGTCGGTGAATTCTACAAGAGCGCTCATTTCATCAGGATTATTGTAGACCTTGATCATCTCTTCAAACTCAACTGAGAGGGGAACGCTGACCTCGGCTGGATGGGATTTGTAGAACTGTTTAATTTGCTTCAAACGGGAATAAAATTCATTGAACTCATTTGGTCCGGACAGCGCCGCAATCTCAGCCTTTCGTTCATTATCCTTGTCCTCGTACAGCTCGCGAAGCTGGGTGGTAGCATTGTGGTAAAGTTCCATTAAATACTTCAGCCGGTGTTCACTGTGTATGCGCTCCTTTTCACCGGTCTTTTTTGTTGCATGCTCATCGACCATTAGTTTGATCAAACGCTCGCGCTCCTCATGGTAGCGACGCTGCTGCTCTAGTAGCGTCTCCATTATGCTGATTGTTTATTTGAGAGAAATAATAAATTTTCACGAAATAGTGTGTGTACATACGTACTAAAGAGCTGCACTTTATATATCGATACTAGTGATGACAATTTAGAATGAGCACGCGATATATATTGGTATCGAGTTTATACATTGTATAAGAAATAGACTGCTAATTTTAAAGGTTAATTTTTATATACATTAAATTATAAACTTTTGATTTTAGCTATTCACAAATATATTTTTTTAATGATTCTAATCGAAGCCTTAATCGATTGATTGCTTTACAGCTGATATTTTTATAAATCGATGCATTGTTGCAATATATTAATATCGATATTTGCGATTATTGTTGGCCCCGAATTTGGGTATTTTACAGCACTGCGCATCACGAAGTAAAAATCATATGATCGATTAGTCGTAGTGAAAATTTCAGACGACGGGCAGAAGGCACACACACTGCAAGTAAATCTTCGGTTTCGTTTTAGTCTCGTGTTAAATAATATAATATTTTACCTTAACTGGTGTGTTGTATAATTAAGATATTAATTAAAGAGCTAAAAATAATTACAGGCACGGTAGTACGTGAATTCCTTCGGAACTATTGAATTTCTATTTCGATTTTGTGGCAAGTGAGAAAAATCAGTCAAGATGGCTTTGAGCGATGCTGATGTACAAAAACAGGTAAATATAAGTGTTATTTGAAAAATATTTAATTGTACAATGTATTTGGGGAAACTGGATATATGAAATAATTGTTTCTCCAAGTGAGTATTAGAATTCCAATGCCACGGATTTGGTAGCAATAAAGATGGCGAAGTCATGGGATTCTCGCCGTAGTCATGTGAATTTTGCGTACAAATTTTTTCTGTTGCTAAATATTTTAAAGTTGAATTTTCATAGTCGTTCGTTACATGATGTGTATATACTATAAAGTATGTATATTCACCAGGAATTAAGTATGGGTTTTATGTTTCGGTGGACGAAAAAACAAAAAACAATTGTTAAAAACTTTACGCATTAGCCAAAAGCTTATTGGTCATGTGACAGATATTACATTTGAGCTGTGTGCTAAAGCGAGACGACTAGAGCACCGAACCCCCTATTGCCAACGCAGTCACACGACTTGTATGTAAATGCACTTGGCGCGTTATCAATGCCATTGAATATTTTTACAGAAAGTAAAAACATAGTAAATATAATATTTGCTAATGGTTAAGTTTGTGCCGGGAAACAACTACTAATGGAGTCTGTGATGCACTCAAATACATATGTCTAGATATAAGTAATCATGTGATTAGCTTTGAGGTTTGTTTTTACACTGGGTTTTAGGTGTTCATTACAAACATTGTTTTTATAACTTTTATTTAAATACACTTCCGTTACAGATTAAACATATGATGGCTTTCATTGAGCAAGAGGCCAATGAGAAAGCGGAAGAGATTGATGCCAAAGCCGAGGAAGAATTCAATATCGAGAAGGGACGTCTTGTCCAGCAACAGCGTCTCAAGATAATGGAGTACTACGAGAAGAAGGAGAAGCAGGTTGAGCTGCAGAAGAAAATCCAATCCTCAAATATGCTCAACCAAGCCCGCTTGAAGGTCGGTCTGTCCAAGTTCCACATAAAAGGGGGATCTAATATGTATTTTTTTACACAGGTGCTCAAAGTGCGTGAGGATCACGTAAGCAGTGTGCTCGATGATGCACGCAAACGTCTCGGTGAAGTCACCAAGAACGAGAGCGAATACAAGGTCGTGCTAAGCAAACTGATTGTGCAGGGCCTGTATCAGGTGATGGAACCTAAAGTAATCCTACGCTGCCGTCAAGTTGATGTACCCCTCGTCCGGGATGTAATCCCAACATCTGCTGAGCAGTACAAAGCCGCAATGAAACAGGACGTTGAAATTGTTATTGATGAGAAAGATTTTCTGTCAGCTGATACCTGTGGTGGTGTTGAGCTGTTTGCCTTGAACGGACGCATCAAGGTGCGTAGAAAAATATTTAATTAATACATAAGTCTTATTGATGGAGCCTGATTATTTTTGCAGGTGCCAAATACTCTGGAGTCCAGATTAGCATTGATTTCGCAGCAACTTGTGCCAGAGATCCGCAACGCCCTCTTCGGCCGCAACGTTAATCGCAAATTCACAGATTAAAATTCTTCTTTAAGTGCAAAAAACAGTAAAAGAAAAAAACAACAATACCAACAAAAAAGTTCAAGCTTATAATACCAACAATAATAACAACAACCACAAGAGAAGAAAAAAAAAAAAAACTAAAAAATGGAGGAAAAGGAAAACTCATACTCTTGAACTCATTTAACAAAATTGTGTCTATCAATTATAATTATTATTGCCGTTGTCTTTTTATAGTGAAGCAAAAACCTTTTGGTCGGATATGTGAGCTACAATTATGCGTTATACGTACTTGCATATTTGCCAACTATTACAATATATATAAATATATATATTTTAGAGTATATTTCAGATAAAGCAAAAGTTCTAAGTGCATTCAAATCCGTTAAAGAGTTTGTTAAAGTTTGGTTTTTTTTATGACTTACCGGCGTTAACAATATAAGCTAATCATAATAACATTCCTCAACACTTTGCGATCCGTTTTTCTTTTGGTGTTGCATATATATTATAATTTCTTGTAATTTTCCTATATTATTTTGCTCTTGTAATTTTTGTTGTACATTTTTATTTGTAATTTCCTATTTGTTTATTATTGTTATCCTGTTATATTGTAGAAATGTTATTCAATTGCAGTGTGCGAGCGCAGCGGCAGCTATTTTCATCAGTCCATCAATCAAACAATCAATGTATGTGCCACTTCAAGGCTGCAGGCGCACACTCAGCATTATTGTCTGCCCGTCACCGAAATGCATTTCGTTCACATTTCGCTGGCTCGCAGACAATGTGCGCCTGCGTCCTTGCAACTGGCACATGTTGAACACAATGTCTGTTGTTGAATATTTGAACTCGAAATCAAATACAAATTAACATGTGAATACACAGTTACAGCATCGAAAGCACGCATCATCCGTTAAAGAAGTATTGCCAAGCGGCCAAGTAGCTAAATTTGTTAAACATTTAAAATGCCCTCAATGTTTTACCTGCTTCCAATTCCAAATCATATAAAACAATACATATACAAATATATAATATTAAAGTAAAATACAAAAATGGAAATTATTAAGCACAATTTATATGTGGCTGTCGCTGCTGCTGCTGCACATTGCTTTATAAAGCGCACTTTCATATCTGGCTCTAAAAACAAAACAAAAATGTATTTTAAATGTTTGCGTGTTCATGAATAAACAAAACACAAACTAAGAAAAATAACTACAACTTTAGCATACAACAAATACAATAAAATCAATAGCATATGCATTATTATATAACATTGAGTAAAATGAAATACAAATGCAACAAAATTACTTTTAAACTTAAACAAAATTTATGTTGAATAAAAACAGTATTTCCAAAAACAAACCAAAAGTTTTCGCTCTAATACAGTGCTTATCATAATTATAGCCCACCCTGCAACTTAAACTTTGAGCCCGTTGTAACAAAATTTTTAAGGTTTTTTAAAAATAAATTTTACAGCACATTATAGACTGGAGCATGTTCAGTAGATTTGATCAAAATTTTAGTTCAATTTATGGAAAACTAAGAAAGAACCGTTAGCTTTTGCTCTGTGCTAGCATTTTTGCTTGCATTTTTGTGTATCATAATTATAGCCCACTGTCGCAAATTTGAATTTATTAAGTGCGGAACAGACTTTTGGCTTTACAGACATTGTAATTAAGTAAATTTCGATAGTTTTTAAGAGATGCCGCTTGGAAAACAATTATCTTATTATGAAAAGGGCCGTATTTTCTCACTTTTCGAGTCAGGAGAGTCTATTTCGAGTATTTTACGAATTTTGAAAAAAAGTCTAAGTGTAATTAAAATTTTTTTGGATAACCCCGAAGAATAAGGATCAAGAAGACGTACTGGGTGAAAACCGTTACTAATTGCGCACGATAAACGCAAAATTATTAAGAAAGCCAGCAACAACCCAACCGCTTGTATAGCTTTGGCCGCACATGTGGCCGAATCTATGTCAGCGATGACTGTTTGGCGAGTACTTAAGAGCTCAGGAATCATAAATAGGTCTAAACTGACCAAAGCATCCATGTTGCTAAGTCGCCACAAGGTTGCTCGACTTGGTTTTGCCGATGGACATACTGCGACCGATCTGACATACGCGCGTTTGAATCATCGTCTTCTGGCTTACAGTATATTTATAAATTTTTACCCTAACAGGTCGTATTTTCTGATGGGAAGAAGTTTAACCTGGATGGTCCTGATGGGTTTGATACTTATTAGCATGATTTGAGGAAGGATCCTATGTTTTTTTCAAGGACAAACTTTGGAGGTGGCTCCGTCATGATTTGGGGTCCATTTTTTTCATTTGGTACCTGGGAATTGAAGTTTGTAACGAACCGAATGAACAGTGAAGAGTATATTCAGGCTCTGGATAGTATTCTCATTCCATATTCAAGGGAATTACGTGAGAAACCAATGGTTTTCCAACAGGATAATGCCAGAATCCATGTGAGCAGACGTACAAAAGAGTGTTTGGAGGAATGTCATGTTGATGTCCTTGACTGGCCAGCATGTTTTGGGGATCTCAACCCGATAAAAATGTCTGGGGTAATCTTGCAAGACGTGTGTATGCCAAAAATCGCCAGTTGGAGACAGTTGGATATCTTAAAACGCAAATTCTAAACGACAATGACTAAATAACAAAGTTTCGAAAAGGACCTTTTATTAAATTTAGTGGTTTCAATGAGGAAGAGAATTTTTGAGTTAACTAAGACAAATGGAGGCCGGACTAAGTATTAACATTAGTTTTTCCATTAATCCGCAACGAATTCGGATTTTTTTTACAAAAATATGAATATGGGCTATAATTTTGATACAGAAAATGGTGCTGTTTTTCCTTGTTTTTTACTTCTTTTTAAGAAATCGTTATTAAATCGTGAATTTTAAGTGAAAAAGTTTTTTGCCATTCATAATTGAAATATTGAACTACTCATTTTTGAAGATTTTGAGGAAATATTCCATTTGGGAAAAATTTTCAGCCGATTCGTTTAAGTGGATTAAAAGTGGGCTATAATTATGATAAGCACTGTATTAACAATGCTATTTGAAATAGTAAAATAAATTACCTTCCCACCCACGTAAGATTACTTGAAAATACATTTGAATGAAGATCGGTTCAGTCACGGATATACAGATTTATATACATATTTAGAAAAAATTTTAAAATAAAAGAATGGAAACTGACAGCTTCAATTAATTTACTAAAACTAAACTATTAAAATATTCAAATATACGCTACATATATAGCAGGAAAGATAAGCTGATGATAAGCCATTAGAATACCCATTTAGTATATGGTAAAAGTATTATATCCTGATTTCCCAATTTTAATGGGCTCAGGGTATAAAAGTATCTAATATCTGGAAGCTTCATAGCAATATTGGTATATAAAACACAATTGATTGGGACATCAATTATTCTTTTATGGGACAGATTATATTCGTTTATAACTTAAATAGATTAGTGTGAAATTTAGTTGGGCTGCCGAAGACTATTTTTGCGCCATCTATGGATATTAAGTATACAATCTCAAAAGTAAAGTGAAAATATAAAGCTTGAATTAGAATTAAAATATCGTCCACATTCAATATGCAAGCGAAACTTAATGTAAATTTTGATTTACCCGGAACGCTTTCCCACACGTCAAAAATAATAAAACAAGTTTCAGTTGTCTGTTTTCAATTTGTTTACTTTAATTGTATATTTTAATGTATGTATATTGTTATTCATGCAATTTCCTTTTCAAATTCAGATTCCCCCAAATTTCAGTTGAGATGTATTTTTTATTTAATATATATTTTTCATCTCTTCAAGATGGTCCGATTAAGCTTGTCTTTAATGTCTTCTCGATGTCTAACTGCTTAAATTGCATTCACTATTTATCTAAAAGTTCTGACCAGTGTTTTAAAAATCATTTCTTGCTGACTTTAAAATAAGAGAAATACATTGAATGTGTTTGTTGCTTTTTGTTCTCAGATGTAACTGAAGCATAACAAGATTTTTTCGCACACATATATTATAAATATGTATAAATAATTTGTCCAGTTATTAGTTTTTTCAGATTTTTTTTTTTTTTTTGTGAAATTCACTTAAATATTGCTCAAAATGAAATAAATGTAACAATTTTAAGTGCACATTTTGAAATGGAGAAAGTAGTTTTGGAAAACTATTAAACGATGTACAGTAAATTTCGAATTTTGTGGCTTGGCTCTCTCCTCTCTCTCAATTGCGACGCAGAGTCCATGGGGGGTATATAGTTTTCTTTAACTTCTAGGAAAATCTTCCAAAGGGGAGTGTAGTTCGGTTGGCTGTTGTTAATGCGAAATACATATACATATGGGTATATATATATATATTGATAAACATATATAATGGATGATGGCGGCTCCGTATAGTTGCAAAATTTGTTTTAATGCCGATATAATAAACTGCGCTCTCAATACAATTGTTAGTCGCCTAGTTTCTGCTCATCCTCCGATTCAGATTCTGTAAGATAGTGAAATAAAAATATACACATTAGTTACCTAATAGTTTTTTATCTATTCATTTTTGTCCGAACGATTATTGGCCAAATGTAACTATGTTAAGTTATATGGACACCCAATCATTCTTTTGCTCTGGCATACCCTCGAATCAAGTGTTACTCATGGGGAGTATATACTATGGATCTTTAAGAGGGTATGCACATTTGAATCAAAAGAAAAATGTAAATGTTTGTCCGAACGATTATTGGCCGACTTTAACTATGTTTAGTTATGTGGACACCCAATCATTCTTTTGCTCTGGCATATTATACATGGGCTTTTCGCGATTTTGTTTCACTAAAAAGTTGGTAAGGAAATATGCGTAAATAGTTTCAAGTGTTCAGGCTTTCATTGGCCTTCATTGTTTATTGTATTTTCAAAACAACGAGGCAAGCAAAAAACCCAAATGCTATTGCAATTTTGTACAATGAAAGAGCCACGTCAAAAGGCAAAAACATTCTCAAAAATTGCCAAGCTGCATATACATCTAGATACATCTAATGTAATTTGTATATATTTTAGAAACATAATATTCTTATATTAATATACTAATATCAATATAAAGTACTAACCTTCCTCGGCAGATTGTAGCCATTCAGCGAATTTGCGCATTTGTTCAAGGAAATGCATCTTGCCTTTGTTGGAGTGACCGTCCTTGTACCAGCGCAAGATTATTTCCTCGGACAATACTTCGGTCTTGTAGAACAATAAGATGATCTTTTGGAACGCTTTCATGAAATTCATGTTTTCGTAACAGAATTCTTGCACTTTTAATATCAATGCCAATTCTGAACGATCCGTTGAGGCGAACGCCTGCAACAGGGGACAATATGTTTTTAGATGACGCACTGCTTGATCTGTGACGAGCTCCTCCTTTTTGTTCCATTCTCCCAGTGACATTATTGTGGACCAAATCTAACAATTCGAATGCAATGGGGAATATACAATAATAATTTATACTTATCAATTTCGGTTATTATCATTTAGCTTACAATAACAATTATCTCATGATCAGGAATGTTGGTACGTAGTGCAAACTCTTTGATGTCTGCAGTTATCTCATTGTGTGCCTTTTCGTCGTTAATATCGTCAATGAGGGTCTGCTGCAGTTCACGTTTGGCCTCTTGGCTAGCCTGCGCTTTATGCAATTTAATGATCTCATTGAGTTCTTTGTCAAGAAAAACTTGTTTAAAATATTCCTCAGTACGTTTGTTTGGTGGGAAAAAGTCCATAAGTCTGCAAACAATAATTATAATTTAATTAGCTCTATATGCAAATATAACACAGGTTTTTGTTTTGCTGATGTGCGAAATTAAATGGGCACCCAAATAAATTAAATAGGTTTATTTGCGAAATGCATTAAATTCCATGTAAATGCTTTTATCTAGGAATGTTAATTAAAGATTAACAATATATACATGTAGATCTTCCTGAAAACATTCCAAAGTATGTGCCTCTAGTACTTATATACTTACTTGCTTTCCAGTCCACCCTTTTTAAGCGCCTGAATAAGATATGCAATGCCCTTCTCTTGCTTGAACGTCAAGAATAGCTCCAATAAAAACTCGAGTGCAATGCCATCTTTAATCAGATGCTCATTGTTTAGTACCAGCAATACATTAGGCGGTACAGAGCCATTAACTGTAAATCATACAAATATAGAAAACTCCATTAGTAAACTGACTGTCAACGATTCACAAAATATGGATAATGCAACTGACTAATCTATACAAAAATATGCTCAAACACGCAAAAGGTGGACGCTGTTTTCACTGCATCTAGATCATATTGTTATCAATTTTGTTTTGTTTATGATATCATACTGTTGATAAATCGGATAAAACAGCTATTTAGATTACTTTTTGGGTGTTTATTATATTGAATTTTGGTGTAAATAAAACTGCTGTGTATATAACTAAAGTGATTGTCCTTGGGCTCGTGGCTTTTGCACTTGGAATTTTTGCATGCAATAGTCAGTATACCAAGAGTAAAATATAATATTAGTCAACTGTGAAACGAGTCTATGATTTGTTTGTTCCGAGAACCCATTTAATATAACTGTTGACTATGATAAATACTACATATAGATATTGTAATTATATAGAATATAGTAACCATGCTTACCTAACCAGAGCGCAGTCATGCGCGCGAGTTTAATACGTTCACTTGGCGTAAAGCCCTTTACGAATAACAAAACTTTACCCATCTCCTCCTCGAACATTTTCTCAAGGTACTTGTACCGTCTAATGAGTTTAACAAACACCTGGAAAGATTATTGTATACATTATTTTAAATTTATGGCATTATTAGATTTAGTTTATAATTTAAAGAAAATATTTTTGTCGCAACATTAGAAATCTTTAAAGATCGAGTTTTCCGAATAAATAAAGACAAGTAAAATGTGGCGTTTAATTTTGCATTATTTTGACACCGATTATATTATAAGAAAGCATAACCGGTTCTAATAATATGCGTTTGATGTTTATATTAATCAAGTATAGACATGTGGGAGGGTAGATAGAAATATTTGCGATTTAGTTTAATGAAAACGAATATTGGAGTAAACATTTCATTTCTTTCTAGTAGTCGGAAACTTTTCAGACTACTCTCGACTTCTACCGGCTGACTTGTCGCAGCCTTCGAAATCTGTACATTGTATTTTTTTTGCTATTTAACAAATAAGGCACTTCCCAGCAAGCATTTGGAAGACTGTTTTAACAGAAATCGTCTTGATGAGTCTTCTTTGAGTCCCCTTGACGATTAAAAAACGACTAATCTCCCGGGCGATCGAAAGAAGACTCATAAATGACCCTTCCATATGCTCAAAGTATGATTACTTTAAAATACAAAAACGAAATGCAAAGCAATCGCCAAATGAGCATGCAGGTGATTAAAATATAATCATTGCTTGGTTTTGCTTTGTTCCTATGCAATCATATTCTGCTCGCTTGGCTGATCGAAAATCGATTCTTATCTAAGCTTATATCTAAGTTAAACGGTACTTTTTCTTAAGCACAAGCCGAAATGTGCAAATTTTGTCATTCGAGCGTGAAAGTGCAAGTGAAGTGCAAGTGCGAAGTGCATACAAATAAATTATATCAATTATATCAAATACAAATAAAAAGGTGATTATGTCAGTCAAACAATTACGTCGAGTGGCCAAAAGAGAAGCTTATAAACTATTATTTTGTTAGAGCTGTGATCAGAAAAGTTTTTTCGGACAAGGTAGCTTCCGAATACAGCTGGAAGGGGACAAAAATTAAACCATCAGCAGAAAGGTGTTACATTATAGCCGTAATAAAAAGTATGTATTATTTTGGAAAATATTTATAATATTTTTTATTAATTAATATTTTCCCATTTAGATATTGCTAATGAAAAATTTACATGCACGGATAAGGATTTAAATACGGTGCTACAAAAGCATTTTGTCCATGCCAATGACAAACTGGCAAAGCGTAGGCGCTTAGAATAATATAAAACATACTTTCTATTTCTGTTACTATTTTTGTTATTTTTTGGTTTGAACTTCTATATTTTGTTTTGTATCAATTAACTTTTTTTTTCTGTTATTTTTTAAGAAAATATATATATATTAAATGAAATTTATATCAAGAAAAAAATTCTTTTCATTGCAAATTATTGAAAATTTCAATCGAATATGAGTCAAAAAATGATTAAATTATGACTCGTGGAAGACTCTTTTATGATCAAAAGATGATTCGTGGAAGACACTTTTATGATTAAAAGATGACTCGTGGAAGACTCTTTTATGATTAAAAACAAGAGTCATAAGCGACTCATCAAGAAGAGTCGCGGGTAGGGTACCATTTTCTCCCGACAGAACAGTCTTTTATGATCAGAAAATGAGCGCACATATGACTGTTTTCAATCATCGCGCGAGTCTTTTAAGACTAACTTATGCTCTGTTAAACGCAAAAATGCTTGCTGGGTTCATTTGGCATATATTGACACCGATTAGCTGCGAGGTCCAATAACCGGTTCTAATTAATACGCAACGCTCCTAGTAATTGTCTCTACAATATATATTAGATTTACTAACCTGCTCATGGTTGCGCATTGACTCCATATCCTCGGGTGCATCGAATATGCAGTAATTTGTGCGTGGCTTTTCGCCATCCTGAGATATAGAACCGCCAGGGACTAATAGACCACCCGCAATCAATATATCAAACAGCACTTCACCGTAACGACGATAATCGAGCTTGTTGCCCGCGCTGTCTAGAAACTTTGAGATTTGGTCCAGGTCGCCTTCAGTTTTTTCGAGACCAGCAATGACCGCATCACGGAATCCCGTTGGGTCATATTTTTCTCTTTCATCTGAGCACAAAAGCAAAAATTTGCATTTATATATAAATGTAGCATAACCCATATAGCACTTACCTCTTTTTCTGGTCTTGATGCGTTGACCCGATAGCACTGGTCTTTCAGTTTTTTGACTCATACAATAAATTGCTGTATATTTGGAATAGAGGTTAAACGAAATATTTAAAATTTTTTTTATTTATTTTTTTTTCATTAAATGTACGTACAGTAGTAAATAAATCTATATATATGACGTGATATGCAAGGCTACTAAATTTTGTAAATATGGAAACGATTACACGTTGAATAAAATCGTGTGCCAATGATATATAACCTTAAAAAAATTGCTTGCTTGATCGTGTGTGTGCCGAACGCACTCACACATGCACACTCACACCCAATTCGTATAATCTTTTTACAGTTTGATAAAGCAGAAGAGCGAATGAAAGGCAAATTGCGAGAACTTGACTACAGAAGAGCAAAGCATAGAAGCACCAGAATAAAGTGAAATTTTTTTAAAATATGTATATAAGCGCGTTGACTTTGTTACTGACGACGCGCGTTTGCCAACGAGGTCAATGAATGTATGTATGTATATGTAATATATAGTATGTACACACACATCCAGTTTGTTTTAGCGGTTTTGATTGCCACTTAATTAAACTTACACTTTCACTTAAAGGAAATAAGTTTGCCAAAGATCTTCCGCGTGTACGGTCCTTATTGTATTGTACTTGTATATGTAAAATTAGTTATGGGTTAGATGGCACGTGTATGAATATGTAATTAGACTCTTCTCCGCACAATTTTTGCAGAGGAACTTAAAAATTTAACCTCTGATGTGTTTAACTATAAGCGCAAAAGCAATTATTTGTATTCAATATTTTCTTAAATTTGCCGTCTTTTTTCTTATAAATTAACTGTAAAATTGACACGCACGCACACAAAGACACTCAACAGTTGAGCGAGGGAGAGAGAGAAAGCCGCAGAAATTGCCGATTTTATTTTGTTTAAGAATTAACTTTAACAATTTTGTTGCTTTTAAATTCAGTGCTACGTCAAAAATTCTATTTTTAATAAATATCACAATCGACTACTTTATACATACATGTGTATTCTTTTCTGGTGAAGTGTTTTTGACGTACGAGCGCCTCTTCTGCGCACACCACTTTGTTAAACGAAATTCAGAAAGCAAATGACACACACAGTTCGTTGAATGCCGAAGATAACGACACGACAACGACATGTGGTCGGCGCCATTTTGTGGCAATACATTGCCATTCAAACAACACACACATACACGTTCAAGAATGTTCGTGTATTTCGCCTGTGTGAGAATATTAATTTCGAGGTTCTGTTTGTGTGGGTCTGCCTTTTTCAAATGCTATAATGAACTAGATCTTTAAAGAATGTCGTTGAAAATTACACGTACTCATTCCCAGTGACTGCTTTCTCTTGCACCATTAAAAATTATGAAAGCGTATTTCGTGGCTCTTATTTAATTATGAGGGTACAGTCGCACTTGCACATTTAACAAGCAATGAATATGAATCATCATGGGTTAAATGTATTTCAGGTTTACAACATATTTCACTTACACTCAATACATACTCATCATAACCTTTCTTACAATCTTTATATAGAGATATACATACAAGCACATGTATGTATATGTATGCGTGGCTACTAAAAGTATTCATATATAAGTGACTACGACTTGAGGTTGTAAAACGCGCATTTCACAATATTATAAATTTCAGACACCATATTATACTAATTTTATTATGAATATTCTTTTTAAAATTCGGATTCTGTACTTACGATTAAAACAAAAAAAGCTGTTTTGATGAAAAAATTGAGCTGTTCCGTCCGTGTGCGAGGGTGCGAAAATCACTAATGCAGTGCTGCAAGAGCAGCATAATCAACCCTGCCGTATTTCGATTTCGACGAACTTATCGATGGCAGCAGGTATTCGATACAATCACAAAATCCACGACGAGAAAAATCAGCTGATATTCTGTTTATTGTACTCCTGAAAATGGTAAACATTAATTCAAATTTTAAAAATTTGAAATATATACACTTGCATCAAGTTCTAATAAAATTAAGACCTCTTGAGCAATACTATGATAATAGCACGCTTGAAAACAAGTTAGAGACCCAGAGTGACGTGCAAAAGGTAAATCAGCAAATATGATACATATCAATAACTTTAATATCTTATATATGTACATATTTAAGGTCTGTGAAGGTTTTTGTAAGGCACTTAAAAGAGATTTGAGTTTGGAGGAAATAACGTCGTTATATTCAGCTGCAATTATGTTGTTACTACTGAGTGATCCCGAAATACAGAATCGACGTCTTGAGCTATTGAACGACTGCTTTAACTATTCAGATACATTAAAGCCGACAATGATTGACTATATAACTCGGGAATTAATTGAAAACTTTAAATATGCATCTAGCCTCGCGGAGAGCAATACAGAATATGACTATATGCTTTATTTCCTATGGGCCATGCCGCATATAATCACAGCAAGCGAGACAGGAAAAATGATTTCATTGGGACTGCTGCGATCTTTTATAGCTGAACTGGCAAACAGGACTCCAATTGTGATGCACATTTATAGAAATGTAAGTGCTTTACATAATAGATACTTATCCGATTTTAAATGCGAATAAAATGGAAAGATTTCAGAAATCTGGCAAATGGTAAAAACTATAAATTTGGACACAATTTTGGACGAATGGTCAATACATAAAATTTATGTATTGATAAAGAGCTTCAGTTTAAGTTTATCAACGGCTGCGCTTAACACCAAAAACTCGGCTTTAAAGCAAGCTGGGTATCGGGGCTTCGAATTGCCTCACGCAGAGATAGAGAATGAGATATCTCAGTGGTTCAAAACGCTTAGAAATAAGCTGAAAGATAAGCATAAAGCGGACGGAACGAAGTCCATCTTGATGGTAAGCGAGACCAAAAATTAAAATTTAAAATAAATGAAATTCATTTCTCTTTCAGTTGGTACGCTTCATTGACTACAATATACTAAGCTTTTTAGCAGAAGGAAGTAGTGAAGTCGCTTCAGAGACTGGCAATGAGGCGCCTCTTAAGCGAATAAGCTTTTAGATTGTACAATAGAAATAAAATACAATACATTAGTACATATATTATAATAGGTAGTTTCATTTTATTTAAAATTTATTTATTCTTTTTGCCGCTTTTTCGCAAAGGTAAATCTTCGACAACCACGGGACTGTTGTAATACTTGGAAGAGATTCGATTGATGAAATATAAGCCCACGAGGGAGAAGAAAATACTGGGAGAAATACAAATTTGTTAAAACTTCAGAAAATGTGTAGATATCAGCTATGACTTACCTGGTTGTGGCACAAACGCGATGAACGACGCCAGCAGCGCTTGCCGTCATTATTAAGCACAATAGTATTTCGGGTACAAGCTTGGCCTGAAAATCGGCCCCAAATACCAATGTCTCGGCATTCGACACGCAAGTGAGACTCAAAATAAACATCCAAGAGAACAAGTAGCCACCAAACAGAGTGTTAATTTGGGAAGTGTTGAACCAGTGGGCGTAGAAACGCAACGTTGCAAAAATTACAAAGCTGAGTATGCCTGATATAATGGCTGAGATCAGAGGGCTTTTGGTTGAAATTGACTTTGCTGGAAAGCATATTTATTATTGTTTTTTACTTCACCGGCATTTTTACAAAAAACGAAACTTACACATCTTTAAGCTGAGAATTCAATTGTTTCGTCTATTGAAAGGGAGCACCTATCGATTAGCATATGAATATGTGATTTTCAAACATCGATATTTATACTCGATACCGACTTATATCGATAAGATAAGACGTAAAAGACCGTCTATTGTAAATAGCAGAATTTGTCTTTATCAATAAAATAGTAAATTAATAGATGGCTTCATTGCTGAAAGCTGCCACCAGTAGTCTTCGGAGTACATTTTTGCAGGCGCGTAGCATTGCAACAAGCCCACCATTGTTAATAAAAGAAAGTGAGTAAAATTCCATGCATTCAGTGCGATGTTTCATAACCTTGTTGAGATTTGTCTTGAAACTTAAATATTTTGTATTTTAAGTACACGAGAGATTGGAAAACAATGCACTGGTCTTTGAGGGTGTAAATGTGGTGTCGCCACGTTCAGAAAAGATGCTGAAACCAGCCTGCACCTCGAACTTCTGTCCAGAATGTACCCTGGGTCTGGACATTAAACATACTGATGTGCTTATTTTATCACAATACGTCCGATCTGATGGCTGCATGCTGCCCAGGCGGATAACTGGATTGTGCCACAGGCAGCAAAAGAAAATGGGGGCGTTAGTTACTATGGCTCAGAAGGCTGGGTTAATGCCTAATCTTAATCCGTCTTGGAGCAAAAAGGATCCAAAAAAGCGGTTTGGATGGCGCAAGTTTAACAAATACTTTATAGAATCAACGATTAAGTACTGAAGTTAATTATAATACCAGAATAAATGTAATTGTTTTCCATTGTAAATGTCAGCATTTTTACATAATTATCGATAATACTAGTTTGCCAAATATTTTGGCAATACCAGTGTTTGGTCACATTGATATTGGCATTGGCATTCTTCAAATTTTTTTTTTGATTTAACACGGCGCGTTTTTTTAACAATGAACTTTTTAAGCAATAGCAACACGGTGCACGTTGAAGTACGCCTGCACAGATGCGAACAGTAAGTGAAACTATTTGACATAAACTTGTGAAAAAGATAGCTGAGCTTCGTTTCTGTTTTCAGGCGAATGCAAACGCTTCAAGCTGAAATCGAACCGCAGTTAGACGCGTACTTAAAATCGCTAAAGACTCTGCGTTGGAATTTAGCTTTTGATGCGAGTACACACATTCCAGCCATTCAAAGTATACTGCTGGAGAAAGACAATGGCGAGAATGGAATCGTGAAGTTGGACAATAGATTAAAATTCCGCTATCATTATTATATGACGCAGCGTCCGGAGCTGCGATCAGGCGGCGGGTTCTTTGATGGCGAAGGCGATGTGAACGCCGATGATTTGGATAGTGTGATTTCTGCCAATCATGTCTTGCTGCCTGCCAGTGAGTTTGTTGGCCTTTGGGATAATTTAATCTACGAGGAAGGACTGAAGGAAAAGGTGTGCTCAGTCATGCTTATTTACATATATATGGATTTATAATCATACTCATATAAATAATTTACTTCCCAGTTGCTTAAGTTCGCTCTGTCCGCCTTGAGTTTCTCGCAACATAATGTGGACTCGAATGTGATTGCTTGTAATAGATTGTTGTTATTGCACGGACCACCCGGCACCGGTAAGACGAGTCTGTGCAAAGCGCTCGCTCAAAAGCTGGCTGTGAGGACGCAAAAGATGTATGCCTATACACACCTTGTGGAGATTAATAGCCACAGCCTGTTCTCTAAGTGGTTCTCGGAAAGTGGCAAATTGGTTGCACGCCTCTTTGGCAAAATAGGTGAACTCGTTGCGGATAAAAATAATTTGGTCTGCGTGCTCATTGATGAGGTGGAGTCCCTGGCATATCAACGCAGTGCGATGAGCAGCAATGAGCCACGTGATGCGATGCGAGTGGTTAATGCGGTGCTTACTCAATTGGATGACATCAAGGCCTGTTCGAATGTGCTCATTTTAGCCACATCGAACTTGGCACATAGCATAGATCTCGCCTTCTTGGATCGTGCAGATATACGTCAGTACATAGGATTGCCGGCTATATCAGCCATTGTCTCTATTTACAAGTCAATGCTAACGGAGCTGATGGCCAGGGGCATTGTGCAAACAGAGCCTTTGGAAAAAGGTCAGGAGGACTCTGAGGATCTAATCAGCAGCCTGGCCGAGCGCAGTGTTGGATTAAGTGGACGCACTCTACGTAAATTACCGCTTTTGGCACATGCTCAGCATACGAGCCGAGATCTCTTTGAGGTTGATCAGAAGATAACTCTATCGGATTTCCTGGATGCAATGCTGCTATCCTTGGAGCAATTGCTGGCTGAAAAACGTCACCTAAAGCTGGAGACATATACACAAGAGATGGCATGACAAACACCAAGCTAAGCAAACTTCTTATGCACAAGACAAACAATAATTTATGATTCCTATTCTCTTACACTACATTTGAATTTACGATGCACGAAGCGTTTCACTTCAAGTTCAATCTCAACACTCATATTAAAACTACATGCAAAGACTGTTTAAAATTAAAGAATCCAATTATATCTGTTATTCTTTCAGACAAAAATTATCTAATTAGTGTGGTTTCTTTTAAATTGAATTCGCAACCTCCCTATTAGTGTATTAGTGGAACACAGAGATTCGAAATCTATAAACTGCTTCGCTATTTTCAACATTTTCTAAGAATAGTATCCTAAAGTATTCCTTGAAAAGAACCATTGGACTGCCAGACAAATCGACAATTTTTTGTCGTAATTATTTCGTATTTATTATCCATTTATTCAAGAAACGTTTGCCCTAGAGAAGAGAGAGTGCTACTGAAATGTTGGCGGTATGTTAAGGTGCTCGGATGTATAGCCACGGTTCCAGAGCTTGTATGGGAAGTTTTCATTGCGACTATTTAGCTTCAAACTGAATTGGGACTTGCGATACATGAGCATGTTCGCATCGAACTGACGCCGCTCAGCTGCACGTCTGTCATATTTGCAGCGGAGCTTCTTTTTGGAGTCTGTGTCTCTGCTGTCTGGGCACTTGGAGTCTGGCGCCGAGAATTGTGGCACGCCCCACAAGTGGTCAGGTTTCTCTTTCTCATTGGTCTGCGACGCCGGAGTTGCCGATTTCGATGCGCTGCTCGAGTTACACATATCGTTGGAGGACCAATCTTTAAGTTGTTTGTTGTATTTGCAGATTAGGTCATTGTACATTCGCAACTTCTCCGGCTTGGCTATATACGGTTGACTTTCACACGAATGGCGTGTGGTTGAGGCGGCGCCAGCGGTTAGACGCGTTGGGGTGCTACCGGATGATATCCTTTCTTGGGCGATCTCTTGCAAATCATATGCCAGCTGATTCACCCGCTCGTTCAGCTGCACTAAGTGTTCGGTTATTTGGTCAATGGTGTTGCCAAAGTGCTTGTTGCTATCCTGCAGCATCGCCAAGCTCTGGCCAACCACATTGCGAGAGATGAGGTTGGCCACAGTTTCCTTGAGATCATCTATCTTCACGTACTTATTGTCCGAGCTTGACTCAACTTTCGGAGCCAGTAGCCTTAATTCATCGGATATTTCTCGCACAAAGCTGGGCGTCCTAAAAAGCTGGACCACCTCCCGGCGCAGATGCTTACCAAGTTTTCTATGCTTATCAGACAATTTTCTTACAGTCTTCTCTTCTAGCATATCCCACGTCGACTCGCTATCCGTTAAGCTAATTTCAGTCATTTTGTATAGAAAATTGTGATTAACAGTCAATTTAGGCATGGAGTTATTTGGAAATCGTATAAAAAGACGTATTAAATAATATGAAAAAATATAAAATAAGTATGAATGTGTGATATTCAACGACTACTAAGATACTAATTATATCGGTTTTATTTTATTGTTACTGGTTGGCGGAACACTGACAGATCCCTCAATGTATAAACGATGTGTACGATGTGTGTAAATCTGAAAAGAGTCTGGAGGGGAAGGAGAGATGTATAATGAGCTGCATGTCAATGTAAAAAAAATGGAAAGGAGAAATCTGTAGGTACTCATAGAGTAAGATAGGAGGAGATGGAAGGAGCCAGAAAAATTGAGGCAAGAAAAGGGACTCGAAGGGAAAGATAATGATAATGATAATGACAGAGGGGGAGAGAGAGAGAGAGAGAAGGGAGGAGGAAAAGAGAGAAAGAGAGGGGGAGAGAGAGGGAGGCTGATTCCGTGGACCTGTGGCATTAATTTCGTTCGAGTTTTGCACAATTTGTTGGAGCACTTGAGTAGGATTATGATAGGGAGAAGTACGGCCGTTAATTACTTGTGTGAGTAAATACAATTACATTTTGTAATACTTAGTACTTAAATGCATGCATACATACATTAATGATTATAAAATAATAGTTAAGTCACCTCTTGTTATAGAGTTCTTTTAAACCGTTTTACTATTGACATATGGGTCTTGGTTTATCTTTACACATTCTTTCTCTCTCTCTCTCTCACACACACACACAAATGCAAACAAAATCGTACGCTCCAGGATATTGTTGCAACGAGTATTATTATTGATTTGATTGTTTATGATTGTGTATACTCGAATTTGGAGTACCGTAAAGTATTTGTAAATATTTTATTGCTCGGTTGTGTCTGCCTGTCTGGGGTAGCCGGACAGCATTGCGTATTTGCAGTATCTCGGCTGTGAATCCTTTGCATAAATTGCAAAATAAATGTGGCGTCCAGTTCGATGCAAAACAGTTGAGAATTGAACAACAACAATTGATGGTTACGTTTATTTATGTTTTGAATAGCCTCTGTTTATGTAGCTGGGTGGGGTACATGTGTGCATGCGTGTATGTGTGTTTGTGTGGATTGTGTGTGCTGCTCAGTACTGCAAGCTATTGTAAAAATTGACAGATCGACAAAAATTAAAAAAAAGAGAACTGAGTTAAATTTTTTTTTTTTTTTTTTTTTTTTTTTTTTTTTTTAAGCTTAGGGCGAATTATAAAATGTCCTTCTGATGTCTATATTCTAAAGATTTTCAAGTCGAGGTATTTATGTAACTCTTTGTTTTCATACAGATGGATAGAACTACGGCTCGGAGAAACAGTATATCACATCTGCAGCGTTACTTCCTATATATGTCGTGGTATAAAAATTATTTTTTGAGGACATTAAACATAAATGTTCATGAAGCAATCATGAACGAAATATTTAAAACGAAATATTTAAAACGAAATATTTAAAACGGCTAGTTATGTACAGAAAACTTTAAAAAGGGTTAATAAAAAAAGGCTAGATCTTCCCAGAAAACTCTCAAAAAAACGTTAGGAAGGCTATATTTCCTAGAAAAAAGTTTAAATAGGCAGCACAGTTGTCTATATTGTGTGTATATGTATGTGTGAGTATATGTGTTAGTGTGCGTGTGTGAAGCCTCTGTGAGCAGCGTTTTGCGATTGCATTTCAGCAACGTGGAACTGCAAACTCGAATTGTTATTCTTGGAGCAAATGCAGTCGATGCCAAAGCATTTAAAGTGTGTGTTCTTCTCCTTCCTCTATCTTTGTGTAATTGCTCAATATTTATTGCTTGCATTTCGAGTCCTACGGAATTCTACAGTAACAAAATATTCCATGCGGGATTGCGGGATTGCGGGATTGCGGGATTGTTGTATATGTTTTCTCAGAAATTATTCATACCAATGAACCTTTCATAGATATCCCATGAATAATATCTTATATACGAGATGAAGGTATGCGAATTCCAGAGAAATTAAAATATGCATGAGCAGCAGTTTGAACATTGTTACTAAATGTTGCAACTTTACATAAACTGTAATACTTATATTTG